CGGTCCAATCCATTCATGTTGAACAAACTTAATTGTTTTAGTAGCATTTAACTGTTAGTTGTTTAAATCGCTTTTTATAAAACGCTAAAAATTAAATGTTATGAAAGTTAACTTTTTATAAAACACTACTTTAACTTCTAAAAGCTAGTTCAAATGATATGTTACAAAATATTATAAAAAATAATATTAAAAATTATTACCAAACACAACCTAATTTGCTACAATGGAAATACTTGATTTTATTATATATATTTATTAAAAATTTCCCAATATATATGTAAATATGGTTATGAATTATGAGTATAAAATTTTATTCTTCAAAATTATTAAGTGATCTATTTATTCCTCAATTCTATATATTCATTTTTTTAAAAAAAAAAATGGACTGACTTGTAATTAAATTGTTTTATTTTATAGGTAAAACAATAATGAGGGTATTAAATATTTAGTGTTGTGGTTGCAATGAGTCATATTTCTTGGAATAATATTATATATAAAAAGAAGGAAGAGAGAGAAAAGGTTAATCAAAACTATATAGAAGCTCTTTGCAATCTTATGGGACCCTTTCCTAATCATGAATTGAACCTAACCCCCCCCCCATTTTTAATATTTTAATTTCTCACCTAATTAAGGATGTAATATTCCTATTCCTATGCTAAATATGTTTATGGGTTGACCAAAGAATTGTGTGGACAAAAGGAGACTGCCAACTCTTGTTAAGAGGACACTTATATATATTCAGACAGCAATATTTACCTGGTTTTTCCATCAAAATAGTAACTATTAATTATTTATTTTTCAATGTAAAATTAAAAAAAAAAAGTTTAATAGAGATAAAAACATGTTGAGCAATATGAATAAGCACTAGAGAGTGGATAATAATAATATATATAAATAAATGTGTGATTATATATAAAAGGACAAGCATAGATGAGTATTAGCCAACCAAAGCCAATCCCTTTTCATCTTACAAATATAAAATTTCTAACTTGTACGGATAATTAGATAATCGGTTAAACCATATATCAAATTAATATTTTGCATATAAAAAATAAAAATACGAAAAAACCTATTATTGTTATTGCTAGTTTAAATATTAATAAAAAAATTCATAATTTTAGGGTCTAAATTTTTTCGAATTCATTGTGCAGTTGTGCATTTGGCTCTCTATAACTTATAACCGGGATTTTCTTTTTCAAGGGAAAAAAAAATGATTTAGCATCATGAGATCCACCATTGATGAACCTTCAAACAATATATATAGCAGCTGCAATCAAATCCAATCAAGCTTGCGCATGTTTTACTAATACTAGAAGGGTTAAAATATTAGCAATATATAAAGTGGCACCGCCATTTTTTTGCATGTTCCAATGGCCTAAGAGTTACCTTTTTGCATAAACAGTGAAGGTTGGCAACTCATACGTTCTTTCCACCATGTCCATATCTATATATTTATGTATTTATAGTGAGAAAGAAAGCATTTAGCTACTTCTACTTCGCTTTCTCATATACTTGTTTACAGTGAATACAGAAGAGATATGGCGGAAATGTATATATATCAATCATAATAATAATAGCAGTGATACGATAATGATTTTGCCTTTCTCGAACTTTTCTTTTACGCGTGACTTAATTAGTTCATTATATAATGGTATACGATTCTCATCAAACAAACACTTTTTATAATTATTCTATTAATAATAAAACTCTTATTCTCATGACTTAGAGTCTTGGAATTGATATCTTCATACCAGATAATATACACTAAGAAAATTCTTTTTTTTTTTTTTTTTTTTTTTTTTTTTTTTTTTTTTTTTTTTTTTAATAAGAAGATGTTAACGAGTCATTCATATTCCTATTTATCGATGCATTCAAAAATATTATTTCTAAACTTTATAAAAAAATTATTCATGGAGTACTTCTCAGCATATAGTAAATCTTAATTAACAAAAATTAATAATATCAACCGGTTTTCGGCAACAGCATTTCGAGCCGAATGCTTAACCTAAATATTACTCTAATAATTTTATTATTGCTACTATCATTAGCTATATATATTCATTTAGCAAGAGGAATTTAGCGCCGGCTACCCAAAAAAAAAAAAAAAAAAAAAAAAAAAAAAAAAAGAAGGAAAGAGTTTAGGATCTTTGCTAAAAAGAGAAAGAGATAATTTTTATATGGAAAGGAATACAAAATATTCCTTCTATTCAAAAAAAAAAAAAAAAAAAAAAAAAAAAAAAAAAAGAGGGAAGGAAAGAGTTAGGATCTTGCTAAAAGAGAAAGAGAATAAATTTTTATATGAAAAGAATACAAAAATATTCCATTCTATCTCATTCTATAAAAGTAGAAACGCTACTAAAATTTGATCATATCATCAATTGCTTTATTTTATTTTATTTTATTTTATTTTCATAAAATTCATCAATTACTACCAAGCTGGCTGTGGAGCATTGCAAGGCTGGTTGTGGTGATGGCTACAAAAATACTCACTCTTATCACATCATGCATGGGATATCACTCTCTCTATACACTATATTATAATTATACTTTTGTTATTTTCTATTTGGATTTTTTTTTTCTCTCTTTTTAATTAAAAAATGAAATTTGCTTGGACATAACAAAAGTGAAAAGAATTATATGCATAAAATGAATTATGATACTATGTATACTGATTCCAAAGCAAAGAGAATTTTAAATTCATAGAAACGCCAAACTCATAGCTCTAAAATCTTTTCATAAAAAGGAGAGACTCTTATGGGATTCAAGGTTTCATCACATGCTTCCCTTCATCAGTTTTTCACTTTCACAAGATTATGAGCATGCACCAACTTGGTTTGGTCAATACACATTATCCTTTATTTTTCCAACTCAAAATATATATATAATGAAATTAATTTAGCAAATACAGATACCAACAAGCCAAGATAGTTTAGTCTAATACTCGAAGCATATTAAATATTAATCATATGATCGAGTAATAGATCTTACGTAAAATTACATGTGAAATAAACTACGAGAGTGAATTTATAAATTTGGCCGAATAAAAAATAAAATACCATCACGCACTCACAACCACAAAGTCCTATATTGTACTAGACTTTATATATTATATATTAGCCCTATATAAAAAATTAAAAAAAAAAAAAAGAAAAAAGAAAAATTAGCTCTAATGTTTTTCTAACTACATATTTTACTCGAAAGTACAAAACCCTAAGCCTAAAAGCCAAGTATTATAGTTAAAAGTTAAAATGAATGATACGAAACTGACTTCTATATATTCACTTTGAGATCATAAGTACGCGTGTCGAAAAGAGGGAGCATCCACGCACTCTTTTATGGTTTAACCGAACGCAACATAGTTTTCCACGTACTTTAGTTATAGTAAAGAATGAATGTCGAGGTTTTCTGAATAACATATAACATAATAGACACGTTCATGGCTTTAGAGCTATATATAATTTTTTTTTTTTAAATAATAATTAGGAGGTTCAATTTTTTCAGACAGTAAAGTATAAATCCTCTCACTCACTTATGTGGTAATGTGGGTATCTTATTTTATGTTCGAGCATGTACATCCACGCAATTTATTATTGAATCTAAAATGATATTTAGATAAAATTTTTTAATAATTATGATTTAAATTTTAAATTTTTATTTTATTATAAATAAAGTTTATCTAAAAATATAACCCCTTAAAAACGGATGACATAAAATTTGAGAAAAAGAAATGGAATAAAGAGATTCCTACTCCATAGCTTAGCTTTTATCTTTTAATTTAGCTAAAATGATAAATCCTAGGTTAAGCATGCAAGTGTGAAAATTAGGGTTTAGGCATGAGCTAGGGCACTAGTTTGTAGGGAACAGATTTTTTTTTGTTTGGCTGGAAGGTAGAATTTTAGAAAATCAGTGTATTGAAATTAGTAAACAAATATATAGTTTTTGTTGGCGTGTGAATAAAATAAAAATAAAAATAAAACAGAGAAATAATAATTAGATTTTTGACTAGCGTGGGGCAGTAGACACATCACACATGGCACTATTACAGCGTGAAATACTGGTTGGCAGAATGGGCTTTGTGGGCCGAAACAGCCTTTGAAGTCGCAATCCCAATGCATTGGAGCCTTCTGAGGGTCCAAGATGTTGACATGAGGCCCCCATTTTTAGCAACTAGGCTGATCCGCTCCACGTGGGCATATCATGCGTATCCTACTCAGCATTTTTCATCTGCCACGTCGATGTCCGTCTCAAATAGATTTTTCCTTTTTTTAATTTTTTTTTAGTAAATTTTTGAACTTCTTGAAATCATGCTATCAATATCCTATGGGTTCAAGAACTCTTTGTGGGTCCAATAAAATCAAAGACGAGATGATGATGGAAGTCATTTTCATTGCTCCCTAATTCTCCTTCTAATTCCTTGATTGACCTTGTTTAGTAAGTATTAGAAAAAACTTTTGTTTTGGTAACATAAATTGAGCTCATAAATTCCACTAATGGAGTTTATAATTAGAGAGAGGGAAAAAAAAAAGAAAAAATAAACCAATAATTTAATTTGATTTTATTGTTTATGAAGGAATAATTTCGAATCTTGAGCTTGCATCGAAATCATTCATCACATGTTAAGTTTTTGACACCAAATCAATAACATGAAAATTCTATGCCTTGGTCGGTAAGGGTAGAGTGCTCTTAACATTACTTATTGTCATATTATTTTTCAACAAAATTTTAAAAAATAAATAAAATAAAATAAAATCATATGATTTGAAAAGGACCCTCACATGCACACTTTCTAAGCCACTTCCCCTATATAAGGAACACCCGTCTCCCCTCCCTCCATACCAAATCTGAATTCACTTCAAAACAACAAAAAACCAACAATCTTCTCTTATTTCTACTCTCTCCGTTTTCAAAACCTACTTTCTTGATCAAACTCTTATAGACCTAAAACTTTCAAACTCAAATACATTTCTTCAACTAGTCTAGTTAATTTCACCAACAGAACTATGGAGAACTTGTTTCGTTTGGCTGATCATGAAGATTTCTTCTCTCGTAGATGCATATGGGTTAATGGTCCAGTAATAGTAGGTGCAGGACCATCAGGGCTAGCCACAGCAGCTTGCCTTAGAGAACAAGGCGTGCCCTTTGTTGTGCTAGACAGAGAAGAATGCATAGCATCTCTGTGGCAAAAACGTACTTATGACAGATTAAAGCTTCATCTCCCTAAACAATTCTGTCAACTTCCAAAACTCCCATTTCCTGAAGATTTCCCTGAATACCCAACTAAAAAACAATTCATTGAATATTTGGAATCTTATGCTAAGCATTTTGAAATCAATCCAAGATTCAATGAATGTGTACAATCTGCAAGATATGATGAGACTAGTGGGCTTTGGCGAGTCAAAACTATTTCTGCAAGCGGGTCTAGCCGGACTGAAGTTGAGTACATTTGCCGGTGGTTAGTAGTGGCTACCGGAGAAAATGCAGAGTGTGTAATGCCTGATATTGACGGATTAAATGAGTTTAGCGGTGATGTTATTCACGCTTGTTCTTATAAATCTGGTGAGAAATTCCGTGGCAAGAAAGTTCTTGTTGTGGGTTGTGGGAATTCCGGCATGGAAGTTTCTCTTGATCTCTGTAACCATAATGCTTCTCCATCAATGGTTGTTCGAAGCACTGTAAGACATTAGAATTAGTGATGAAGTTTCAAACTTTATAGAAAATAAAATGTGGGTTTTGAGTTTATAGTTCTTATATTGATTTTTTTTTTTCATGTTCTTGATTTTCAGGTTCATGTTCTGCCTAGAGAAATTTATGGGAAATCAACTTTCGAGTTGGCTGTTTTGCTAATGAAATGGTTGCCACTCTGGTTAGTTGATAAGTTAATGTTGATTTTCGCATGGCTGATTTTGGGAAATATTGAGAAATATGGATTAAAAAGACCAGCTACGGGTCCATTAGAGCTAAAGAATACAGAAGGAAAGACCCCAGTATTGGATATTGGAGCACTGGAGAAAATCAGATCTGGAGATATTAAAGTGGTTCCTGGAATCAAGAAATTTTCACATAGACACGTTGAGCTTGTTAATGGTGAAACTCTTGATATTGATTCGGTTGTTTTAGCTACTGGATATAGAAGCAACGTCCCATTTTGGCTTCAGGTGAGAATATGTTCTAATTCCTCTGTTCAGAAATTAATAAAAAAATGTCAGAAATTTGTCTTAATTTCTTGGCATATTTTTTTAAAGGAAAAAATGTTTTAGAAGCTTTTTTTTTTTTTTTAATGATTGTTACCTTCTGTTCAGAAAATTAATAAAAAATGTCAGAAATTTGTTTAATTATTTGCATATTTTTTTTAAAGGAAAAAATGTTTAGGGAACTTTTTTTTTTTTTTTTAATGGATTGTGATTTTTTTTTTTTTTTTTTTTTTTTTTTTTTGAAAAAAGTGGGCTTAATCTTGCATTTGGTTAATGATTGTACAGTGGAAGGCGATTTTTCTTCAAAAAGGGCTTTTCCAAAGCCCATTTCAAATTGGTTGGAAAGGAATGCAGGGACTAGTATCGCAGTTGCTTTACAAGGAGAGGGGGTCTGGTGCTCTTTTTTTTTTTTTTTTTTTTTTTTTTTTTGAAAAAGTGGGCTAATCTTGATTTGGTTAATGATGTACAGGAAGGCGAATTTTTCTCCAAAAATGGCTTTCCAAAAGCACCATTTCCAAATGGTTGGAAAGGAAATGCAGGACTATATGCAGTTGGGTTTACAAGGAGAGGGCTGTCTGGTGCATCTTCAGATGCCATGAGAATAGCACAAGACATTGGCAAGGTCTGGAAAGATGAAACTAAGCAACAAAAGAAGAGAACAACTGCTTGCCATAGGCGTTGCATTTCACAATTCTAAATCATGACCAAAACCCACAAAACACCAAAAAAGAAAAGCTTCTAACAAACAGAAATTCAGTTAGTTGTAAAAAAAAAAAAAAAGAATAATAATAATAATAATAATCATAACTTCCTGTATGATACACAAACAGATAGAACAGAGACAGAGCCCTCTCCAAAGGCCCAAAGTTTTGTTATGTTTTGGGGATTTTTTAAACTGAGGATGAAGAGGCTTCTTTTTCTTTTTCTTTTTTTCATTTTTCAGTTTCATACATTTCTTTTTCTTTTGTACTACATTGTATTCATCAATTTTATATGACAATTTCTTTTGTTTTCTTTTCAATTGTTTGTCCCTTCTTTTGCTACCAAAACACGGTGTTTGTATGAACGAATTTTGAATTATTTGTATTGAATCAATCAATTCTAAGATTATAAGATTATGAATTCAAACCCTAATCCTAATCCAAGCTTAATTAATACAAATCAGTTTTGTTAACTTGCCAACTACTACTAATAAGGCCAAGAAACAAGATTGGCTCTCTTTTGTCGTTTTAAGGAGTTTGTTTCAATTTCCTTACACCTTCCAAGGATCAAATGAAGTTATTAAATCAGGTAATCTAAAGGAAAATTTGGAAAATCCTATTCTTCTAGTTGTCATTAAGTTTAATACATTGAACATTAATAATTCAAGAATCAAATCCCTGCTTATTTTGGCAACTACAATTAACAGTTTTAAATAAGAAAGAATATTCCCTCTCTATCTGTAATTACATGAAACTAGACTCATACATGTTAAAACTAAAACTAAACTGCCTCACAATCACATTACCTATTTTCTATTTTCTTGCCATGCCAATCAGAGTTTTTTTCAAAAATATAAAAGAAAAAGGGTCACTGATTCAAATGTTCTGATTAGCAACTTGCCCATAAACATCTATGATCAGATGGGGTAGGGTCCATGAAGGGCAACGAAACCTAGCTCCACCACACCCACCACCTTGTTTTTATCCTACTTTTGAGTTTTGATGATATTGATAGCCAGTTCCAAGATGGGCTACATCACACTATTCCCTTTAATAGTATTATTATTATTATTTAGTTTTGACCAACTTAGGCTTACAAAGTCACTGATGCCTTGCACATGGATAGAGCCACAAAGCTCTCTAAGCAACGCAAAAAAAAGAAAAATAGAATTACAGTTAAGGCCTTTCTGTAAAGCATGATACAGAAGCTTCAATACAGTTCAGAAAAACCCGAAAATTGATTAATGTAGCTTATTATGTGGTAATCAACTGTTCAAATGTGAAAAATGTAAAAAAAATAACTGGCGTCGGTAGGACCCGAACCGGAGACCTTCAGTGTGTTAGACTGACGTGATAACCAACTACACCACGACACCAGTGGCAGAAGCCTCTCAGATAATCACTTTGAATTAAGAATTTGAAATGCATAACCATCACACGAATACGAACAGGGTACCAGAACTAGCTCAGTGGTTCCTTAAACCTGACTCAGAATTAAAAGTTCATGCAGCAGCCTAGAAGGGGAAAAAACAAGCACGTTTAAGAGGTTTTTGAGCATTTGCATGTTATGTTCTGACATGTTTTTGGGATCTTTAATGCCCTAAATTTGCGCCATATGCAATTGGCAGAGACCTAGAGAAGCTGTTTAGAGCATACTCCCTTTAACTACAAATGCTTTATGTTTAATTCTAGGTATACCAACTTGGCCTAACCTGAAATTATGGATCATCTAAAAGACAAGTCTAACTTTTCTTCCTCTAAAAACTTAATATTCCTCTACAATTATTTCATTAGTGTCAAAGTAAAAATGATATTGCATCATCCATGCAATAACTAGCACCTTCTACTTAGAAACACAAGACAATGAGACATCACTAAGTAAATGTGTCGTATGTGTGATGACTCTGTTGCATCGGAAGAGCAAGAAGGTTCAGGCATTCAAGTCCCACAAGAACATGGTCCCCAAAGCTTATAATTCCCTGACAAAGAATGCCAAAAAAAAAAAAAAAGGATGGCTATGAACATGAAGGTTCCTTCCCCTTATCCATTTTTTCTTCTTGCTTACACCTTTTGCCCCTGCTACGAACAAAGCTAGGAATAAAATGAGGGTGTATCATTAGTGATCCCAGATGGAAACTCATCAAGACTTCAATTTGGATAATTAGATGACGGATGGAATTCGAACGTTATCTTACAATCCTGACAAGGGCTCAAATACTACTAATCAGGGAGATTATTTTATCACTCAGTGTATCACTCTCGCTCATTTGATAAATTCAAATGTATCACATATAGTACATCTTCTCGTACACTGAATAATTCCCCTAAAAATCAAAGCTCAAATTTTAGTGAAGAATTCGGGTAGTTTTCAGTTTTCACAAAGATACTTCACATCGCATATGATTCGTTAAAAAGACATTATCAAGAAACACTACATGTAATGATGTAATAGAGCCTCCAAGAAGTTATGAAAACAAGATTTTCAGTAGATGTTCAGCAATCATTATCATTATGGGTAAGAGTAGAAAAAAAGAGGTCTGGAAACTAAAGCCCACAGACAAAGTCCACTGAGTTCAAACTTGTCAGAGCCTCAAAACAGCGCACATGAGCTCCATGCCAATGATTCACAAATTACAAAAAGGTTTCTCCAACTCAACTGGCCCATCCATTCTTCCAGTTCCACCAGAGACCTCAAAATCAGTAACCCAGTTTTTTCCAAAACTTGGCTGCACCAATTAAAGCTTCAGTTTTGTGTCTTTATCTCTTTGGGACTATGTGCATGATTTCAACTGCTTCTTTTTGGGCATCACTGCTAATAAAGAGTAAATGTAACACATGGTATGGTCACCATTCTCCATTACCACTATATTATCATCAAGGGCCCATCTTATTCATATTGTATAATAATCCAATTTCTGATTTTACTTAACCTAGTTCCTCCAAGCTCTAGGTCCACTTGCTCTAGTCCCTAGTAGACACTATCATGTGATCAAACAAGTTCTCATTAGTGGACTTTCCAGATTTCATCCACTTAATAATTTGAAAATTTTAAAGACCAATAGCGTTTGGATTGAAAAACAAACATATTATTTTATGAGAATTAAAAAAAAAAATTGAAAGGATAACTATACCAAACAGCTCCTAAACTAACAGTTCCAATAACATATGCATGGTCTCAGAAAGACCTAACTTTTTATAAAGGAATCCACTTAGTCCGTATCCAGCAGCTAGGTTACAATCAAGAGTTCTCTACAATTTTTTATTAAGTACGTATTATGTTTCCTAAAAGTTTCGATGTACTCTCTGAGTACTACTTTGGTTCTTTCAGTACTTTTAATGTGTAGTTAGATTTCCTGTTTAAAGGTTATGCTGCACTTGGACCCCTTTCCATTACAATTAATATACAGAAAACCTAACTATAGATAATATGTATTGAAATTTTGCTATTTTCTGTTTTCTCATCACTAATTAATATAACTTTTCACTATGTAATTATTTTCAGACACTTCACTTCCCTTCAATCATATCATATATACAGGTCAGGCGGAGAAACTAAATTGCTTATATATGTCTTCTTGGTAATCAATTCTTTATGGCAACAGTGATCAATGTTCACTTCCAAAATTCATATAGACACTCCAAAAAAGTCCTTATTCTTGAAAGAATTTCAAGTAATTAATAAATTTAAAATATTCGTGTTTAATTACATTACTACCATCCTAAATTATTGGTCGAAATCTCCATTTTCTCTTAGTTAACTCATTCAGGATTTATTTTGTTTGCCTCAATCATACTTTATAACCCAACTCTCCCACTGCTTTCTTGTTCATAATTCACTCTTTCGCAATCATTCTCAAATAATAGATTCTCTTGGAATTTGACAACTAACGCTAGCTAATAATAAGCATGCATGCTTTTTATGGTATTTGTGCAATTTTTCTTTGTTTCTTCAAGTGCATTATTTCCCACCCTTATCTATCATGAACTATTTCAGATCATGTTGTAGCTGAGTCTTAATTCTAGCGACAAGTGATTCTAGAACCTTGATTTTTGTCACCATAATCCTTGATACGATGCCCAGCCAATTGCAAAGATCTTTGAAATGTCAAAATCCAATATTCTAAAGTAACTGAAGATTGCAATACAAATTAACAACACCAAGTAGGCAAATAGACAAACTTGAACTCCTTCAAACCAGGCCGTCATAGCCTCCTTGACAAAGCCAAGTTGTCAAAGGCCACATCCCTCTTGTACATGTAGGACATATAGGAGTGTGAAATTATACTTTTGCTCAGATAGACAATATCTGAATTTAGAGCATGAAGATGTTTGCTAAACCCAAAACAAGCCAGCTATGACTAAGGAACAAGCCTGGCCTCACAGATTTATTGTCTTGACAATGGGTGCATAAGGGCCTTATTTCAGGTTTTTAAATTAAACTACTAATAAATAGATATTGTAAAACCATGTTCACACAAGAAATAGTGCAGTAAAGTAGAATCTAAATCTAAATGCATCCTGAAGTAGATACAATACTTTCATATGTCAACAGAATTCGAAAAGCTGGAAATAGACGCATCGTTTAGGATTTGATCAAAGATATAGCAAATTAAGAAGGATAAAAGAAACAAAAGGGAAAATGCTAATCGTAAATTTCAAAGGGGAATTTGGGAATGTTCCAATACAAAAGGAGTATGACCCAATTGTTTAGATTGAACAGAATTCAAGAACAAAGCTCAATCAATACAATGACAGTTTTCAATTGCTAACAAAGAAAGAGCCTATGATATTAGCCCAACAGCGTCTTCTACAAATATTAGGCACTAACTTAGGTTCCTTATCTTTGTAAGTAACCATATTCATGGGCTTAGATTGCATCTAATCCAAAATCATAGGCCATTAGCCCTATGAGTACTATACTATACGTACATAATCTTACATAGAACTTCTAGTGAAATATTAAGGATAACGATGTCCTATTAGGAATTGGGGTAAGGATGAGTGCAAATTTCCCACCTTATTTTTTAAATTAATAAAAACCATACCTTTAGACTACCTTTGATACACAAAATGGAATGAAAAAGGAATGGGATAAAGAATAGAGTGGAATGACAATGAGAATGAGAATATAAATTTATATTTCTTTCTTTGGTATGTAGCATGGGAATGAAATTCCGATTTTGTTCCTTTCTCTGGTTGTAGAAACGAGGGAAATAATGAAATGAGAATCACTAAAAACACCAAAAATAATAGAGTGTTCAGTATTTTGAAAAAAAACATATATAGGAGTATGAAAATAGTGATAGCCATTACAACCTACTTAGGAATTCATATTCATGGTCTATTCCCTTCTGATTTCTGTAGAATTGGCATTTTATTCCATGTATGTCACAGTATAGACTTAGGATTTTAAGTATGTGGAAGTTAAATGTTTTAATCTAGTACTTTTCCATATGCAACCGAACTTACTCCATCTTTTTTCAATGTGTGACTTTCCCACACGCAGTGGTGGAGGTAGGGGGTGGCGGGGCCGGGAGTGACCCCGTCCCTATCACAAAATAATAATAATAATAATAATAAATAAATAAATAAATAAAAATAAAAATTTCTTATAAATTTCTGTGAAATTTTTATTTTATTTTTTTCCATTTTGCCCCTTAATTTAAAAAATTTTTCTTTTACCCCAAAACTCCTAATCCTGCTCCGGCGGCTGCCTACAAACTACGATATTCCCATAGGAATCCTATAATCTACTCTAGTTTCTTCTTAGTTGAATTAAAAACGAATATGAACTTTGAAATAGAAATTGCAATAGCGGCAAGTGTTGCAATTCTCATCTCCTCCACCGGAAATCGGGACAGTGACAAATGGAAATATTTATACTCATAATTTGTAAAGTTTTAAATATTGAAAATCATATATTTTTTATAAATTACAATTAAACTTATATAAATATTATAAAATTTCAAATACTTTATGTTAATTTAACTGAAAATAAATCCAAGGATTATTACTCTCTGAAAAACCTAGAGATTGAAGAACTGGAATTGACTAAGATCCAAATAAATAAGTGATCCAGATAGAGCAGGAACGTAAAGTAAAAAGAATAAAAAGACGTACTGGTTTGCGGAGGCGCGTCTCTTAATCTGACGATACCAGACCAGAGGCTGTGCCGTCTGCGATTGCTGGCGCCAACCAATAAACTTCTGTTCGATTTTTCGAACTTTCGCGGGAAAATGAAGTTGGAAATTGGACCCTTGCCTGTCTGATCTGTTAAGCTTCTTTAACCCGATAATTCCAAAGCCCAAATGTTTGCCGCCTTTTATAGGCTTTTCTTAAAGCCCAATCCATATACATTCTCAACGGCCCAAACTCTAGGCAGGGTATTTATAAACATCCAAAAATTGTTTCAACTGCCTAAATGAATTCATATCGATCCAAAATTGTGATTTTGAAAAGTTTTGTTGTTTGGTTTGTAAAATTTAAGAATTTAAACTATGGACTCGGTTTATAATATTGAAGTCAAAATCACTTAAATCGATCTGTTTGTAAATTTTGAAATGATGAATAATTCAATGCAATTTTTTTGATTAAAAGCTTTTTTTTACTTTATTTTGTTTACAGTGATTGGTGCATGTTAGGTGAAAGTTAAATTATATTTTTATACTATTTAGATAAATTACATAATTATTTCATAAAATTCCAAATATTAAAGATTTTTCATAAAAAATATTTCAGTATTTTCAAAATTTTTACATAAGTTATGCAAAAAGAACTTAGCTAGCATTCTAACATTTAAATTTAATGTCAAAAAAAAAAAAAAAACATTTAAATTTTAGTCCAATAAATTGTTAATAAAAATGCAAATGTGAGTATAAAGTTTAAGAATTTTATAAATGTATTTTTTAAATTTTATTATCAATTCAATAAAAAAAGGTCTAAATTATTTTTTCTTCGTATATACAAAAAATGTTTATACATATAGGTGTGTGGTGCTAAATCCATCCAAAAAAAAAAAAAAAATCAAAAAAAAAAAAAAATCTTTATAACGTCGTGTTATAAATACTTTTTCTGTCCTACTTTTGTCTTGCTTGTTATTTACTTATTTTACATTTTCAAAACTGTCTGCAAGTTATTCATTCTAGAATGCTATAAACTAATTATTTTTCTTTCTCATAATAAACATTTTAATTATTTCTTAAACATGTAATGACTTCTTCATTAATCTCCTTCATAAGATAACGGAGTAAAAACAATACACAAACTAATTTTTACTTGATAAATTTTTAACGATACTGACATACTTTTTTAATTAATCTACATAAATAAAACTTGAAGACGAATGAAATAATTCAACAAAAAAAAAAAAAAAATCTTTATACGTGTGTATAATACTCTTTTTGTCCTATTTTGTTTGCTTGTTATTTCTTATTTTAATTTTTCAAAATGTCTGCAAGTTATTCAAATTTAGATGTATAAATAATTATTTTTCTCATAATAACATTTATAATTATTTATTAAATGAATGACTTTTATTAATATCTTAATAAGATAACGGTAAAAAAATACAAAATAATTTTTATTGATAAAATTTTTAATATGCATATTTTATTAAATTACATAAATAAAATGAGACGAATGAAATATTAATTATTTTGATTCAAACCCATAATTTTATTCGATTTCCCATAAGAGAGTGAAAGCAATTATTTTTTAAAAACAAAAATTTTCTCCTTTTTTTTTTTTTTCACCTCTGCACGTCTATATTATTTTTTTCAAATTTTTTGCATTTTCATTCGCCTCTTTCTCACTAATTTTAACTTGGATCTTGATCCCGCTAACTAAACTTTCCATCTCTATCACTGTATCTATAAAATACAAAGGTCGTCAAAAATTACTAAAATTGAACCATAATGCATTCGTATGTTTGAATTTTTTTTTTCTTTTTCATAATTTTGGTTCATTTCGAATATTTTACAAATTGAGATTATAGATTTTATTCGTACAAATCCTCAAATCATTTTTCGGAGTTGCTAGTCAAATATCCCACACATGCATGCATTCACGAGTCCTTTTATACCATTCTAAAGTTTATATATCTTCTGAAATTTATACATATATAGCATTCATACTGTAATTGCAAATATCTACTATTATTACAAAAATAAATAAATTGAGCTAAATACGAATCTAAGAATCGAAATTTAAAATCTAATTATTACTTTAACCAGCTTTGTGGAATCAAATATCATTTTTTTAATGGCATAATATATTAAAATATTTCAAAACTGTGCGTGCTTTTGTAATTTCAGTTATTAATTGGGATTTTTTTTTTTCATTTTTCTTTTATTGACGATAACTTCTCCATACCTGCATCCTAAAAAAACGAAAATTCGTGGCAAAGGAAAGTTTTCTTTGCTCAAAAAAAAAAAAATAAAATAAAATAAAAATAAAAATAAAAATCACTCTGAATTACATTAATACAGGCTTATAACAAAATAAAGGAAAAAGAAAAGCTACAAGACATCGGAGACAAGAACAACGATGGCAGTCGCATCTCCTCTTACTTTTCTCACTCCTCTTTCTCTAAAATCTTCTCGCGCTTTCTCTCCTCTCGGCAACGTCTCTAATTGTTCATTTGCACTGAGCAATTGCGGTATCAAAACAGTCACAAGTCTGGTGCTGGGATTCAATGGCTCAACAAGAAGAAGATCCATGTCTGTTCGAGCTTCGTTCGGGTCCAGGCTCGAAGAGAGCGTCAAGAAGACTGTTGATGAGAATCCAGTTGTTGTTTACTCAAAAACTTGGTGTTCGTGAGTTCAAATCTCTTAAATTCCACGTTTTTGTTATGTTTTTTCATTTTATTATGCAATTTGTGGTGAAATTGAATGACATATATTTTTTTTAACTGAATTGAATGATAATTTAAATTAAGGTTATTGGGATTTGTATTGAAGGTATTCATCTGAGGTGAAAGCATTGTTCAAGAAGCTTGGTGTGGATCCGTTGGTTATCGAATTAGACGAACTGGGTATATGACCCTCGTGCTTATTTTTATATAGTTGTTTATTTGTATGCTTAATGACATTGTTTTCTTGTTGTATCATCATTGAAACGGATTGGAATCTTCAGCTTAAACGTAAATTTTGTGATCCAATTTATAGTAATGGTCATTAAGTGCATTTTGGATATTCTTATTGTTCTTGATCTTTCTCTTGAAACACAAATCCCAATCCATTTTCATTTCAAATGCATACCTCTAAGTTTTTGCCGTTAACAAGAGCCAAACATGACATTTGAATGATTATTCTTTTTGTCGATTCCTTGACATGTTTTTACTTCTCAAATTGAGCAGAGATTGCATATATTGACGAATTTGAATCTCTCTTAATTTCTCATTCAGGCCCACAAGGACCCCAGATTCAGAAGTTACTGGAGAGGCTTACTGGACAACACACTGTTCCAAATGTGTTTATTGGTATGTACCGCTTTCACATTTTTCCTCCTGAAGTGAATTTATTTGGAACTATATATCCAGGATTTGAATGGCGGATGAAGGGCTATTGGGGAAGGAAGTCTTTCAGGAAACTACTAAAAAATATAATTCAGGCCTCATTTCTTTATCTGTGTGTATGAGCAATCTTGTATTGCTGATTCCCTCTTTATTTTTATTTGGTATTGGATGGGTGAAGTGAAATTCTATATTGATGCAAATTGATATGTGCAAAATTGGAGCAATTCCCAATTATACGAGTCATGAAATGTGTGAGCACTTGTGTATGTGTATGTTTTTCCCCAACTTGTTGGAGCTCTGTAAATCAATTTTGCATTTCATTTATCTTGCAATATGGGGTTCTCATGTCTTGTAGTTTTCCCCTACTGGCTACAGCCATCTTTTAAGCATGGGTCCCACTGTAACTTTGTCATAGACTTGAGCACATACCAAAGTCAAAATCGAGATTCAGTATTCAAGCTTCTTATCTGAGAATAACTGTGACCAAGTCGTTGCAACTTTTTGTGGTTGAGGTTCACATGAAAGTTGACTGCCTTGCCAATTGTATAGAGTGAGAAAAAGTGAGTCCATGTGAATTTCCGAATCACCTTGGACATGACTGGAAAAATGCAATAAAGCTGAAGAATGAATTACCTAGTTTAGTATGTTTTTTGTCATTCATCCATTTTGGATTATCTTTGTTCTGGGGTGGCGTTAAAGGTTGCTTTAGAATGAATAGTTCACTATTGGTTTAAAATTTAAATGTGCTTGTCATCGGATCTGGTACATATTGATGGTTGTTTCAATTGGAAAGCAACCATATTCTGTACATTACATCTTGTTTGCAACAAATTATGTGATGGAATTTTTCTGCTAATAAAATTTATTTCAATTGATTTTGAATAGAATTCTTAATTCATGTGTTTGGAATGATTTTTAATTCTATAAATTCTCCTAATAATTTTATTTCAATTGTTTTTAATAGAATTCATGTGTTTTCGAATAATTTTTAAGCTGACGAAATTCAACTAAACTGTAGTGTTTGGAATAATTGAAAAATGAATTGAATTATGTAGTTTCCAACATTATCTATATTCACAATAAGACAAAGTTGCTTTTGAGTGTGTTTCTTGTTTTTCATTTGTGGTCTCAGCACTACCACTAAACTAAATGAATTAAATTTTCTGTTAATCACTCCACTTTTGGAGTGATTCCTGATTATTTCAACATGCCTTTTTGACCCTTAAGAATTTAGATCCTATCACTTAAGAAGAGGTTTATAGCAACACTTTTAAACTTTATAATCAAACTGGATGTTCGACCATTTCATCAAAATCATTTCGGACTCCAAAAGAAAGTTTATGATGTTTTGGTCATAGAGTGCATGAATGCAAATTGGAACAACTCTATTATTCAATGTATGCTATAATATGCTGGTTGCATTGTATTCTTTTGATTATCCATTGCAAATCAATTTCAAGGGTTCATTACAAATCATTATGACACACTGAGAGATCTGATGAGATTGTTATCTGAAAAGAGCAAGCACATTTTCCTCCTTTCATTTAAAAAACCAAAAATTTGTGAATTGTGAAAATTTAATCATCCCTCCTTCTGTCTATTTGTTTGAGTGCTCAATGCTAAGAAATGCCTAACGTTTTTTTTTCTAACCTTCATTTTCAGGGGGGCAGCACATTGGAGGTTGCACAGGTACATTTTTTAGTAGTTGTTTTCGGTCTTATCTTGCTTGATTATATCTGATTGCATGGCATGCATGTCGAGATGGTTCCAGAAGCAGCATGCACTGATTTGTCACTTTATTACTGTTGTCCTCCACAATATCTTGCCTATGCCAACTTTTTTCCTGTGCCGAAGCACCCATTAATTGTGACATTGTTGACCTTTAACTTCAAATTTTCTTGGTAGGAAAGGAGAACTTGATCACTAAAATGTTGTTTATATTCATATGCAGATACTTTGAAACTATATAGGAAAGGAGAACTTGAAACTCTGTTGTCAGAAGCTACTGCTAAGAGCACACAGGGCTAGAATGCTCGTCACCGTTGAGAAATATAATCCCCTTGCACATCTTGGATATCTTAAGAATTCATGCTTCATTTCTGCTTCTTCAGATCAGTACTTTTTAACTTCATTGACCTAGATCTACTTTTAACTCCTCTATATTGATATCTTCAGTTTAATTGTATATTGAACTTATTAAAGTCTATTGTCACATAATCATGTTAGAACCTTCTTAAGTGGTTAAAAACCCTTGAGAGGGGGAATGGACTCTTTCTTTGTATAAAACAAATAATTAGCATTTCTTTTTCCTGGCCCTCATACTAATCTCTTTGTCCTTGTTCAGTTTGAACTCTAAATTTTGTCTTCTTTATTATTAGATGCTAGTGTTTATATGTTCTTGTTTGCTTTGTATTTAAACCTCTTGAAATTTTGTCTCTCTATTGCACCAACCGTTCTGAAACCAGAGGTTTTAGTTTCCTCTCTACCTTGCCAATTGTCATTGCCAAACTTATCAAGTGAGATAATATAATTAGCTTGGCTTTCTTGATCAAATATTTATTTGCTGCATTGCTGACTATTAATTATAAAATTTTTCCTTCAGCTGAAAAAAGCTTTTGATTTTGACTGGACTTGAACTAAAATGGAGGGTGGGTTGGTTGTTTGATGATGGGATTTGGGATCACTTGTGAATGGAAATGTAAAAGTATTGCAGGTTTTTATGGACAGATCAGAATTTTTCATCTTTCTATTTAATATATATATTTTTTTCATTTGAATAATATTGTTATAAAAATATTTTTCTTATAAAACTTATTTAATTATTTGTGTTAATATATTTCAATAGTTGATATCCATATTGATTTATACCTTATTCTATTTTTTAATAAATAATTCATTTTCTGCTTACCATTGGTCCCAAATATATAAGAACAAGGCTTAAGGCTTAATTTGCCTCTTGGTACAATATACAATTTGCCCAAAAAAATTAACTTTTTACTTGTACCAAAAGTACAAACTGCCCGATTCTTGTCACAAAATAAATTATTTGATATAAATCAAATGTGATTAAAAAAATAATTAAAAAATTGATCTAAATCAAATATAATTAAAAAAATAATCAAACAAAAAATAATAAATATTTTTCTGACCAAATATTTTAATATAATCAACTCTTTTTCTAATTTTGTAATTTTTTCAAATCAAATATTTGTTAAATTATTTTTAAATCAAGTACTCTAAATTTTTATAATTATTATTATATTTTTACATCAACTTCTTTTTCTAAATTTTGTAAATTTTTTTTCAAATCAAATATTTGTTAAAGTTATTTTTAAACTCAAGTACTCTAAATTTTTTATAATTATTATTTACTTTTTAAACTAATTTTATATTTCTAATTTTAAGAAATATTAACACAGTAATTTTTTATTAGTTAACAATTATATAACAAACTTTATTTCTTCAAAAATTGAACATTTTTAATAATTATTATTATATTTTTAAATAATTTTATTTTCTAATTTTAAAATTTTAAGTATTTTTTATTAGTTAAAATTATATAAAAAAAACTTTTTTCTTAAAAAATTGAACATTTTATTCTTTTGGTGCAAGTTTCGTATAAAAGGTTAATTTTTGGATAAATTATATATTGTGGCTAATTTTCAAAAGCAGATTGAGCCTTAATCCCAATTATATATATATCTTAAACATTTTAATTTGTTCAAAAGAAAAAACATTTTAATATTTGATTTGACTGTTTGAGCTACCTGGTCAGTTTTTGTTGACAAAGGCCCAAGAGTTATGAGCCGTTAAATATTCGGTCCATGATCGGGTCCTCGAAGAAAATCAACAAAGCGTGGCGCTATAACCATCATCCAACAACGCACCACTACACGTATATACATTTTCACCGATTTCTTGCGCAAGTGTTATATTTCTAGCTTCAGAACTTGCAGCCATGGCTTCTTTCATGGCGCATGTTTCCTGCAGTATTAGTATTGGACCTTGTAACTACTTTTATCATAACATCAACTATAAGTACTTCAGTTTTAGTACTCAAATTATCAATCATAAGCAGACTTTGTTCGCTTGCATTAGTAATAACAGAATACACAGTATTGTTCACTCTAAGAAGCAGCAGGCTTCCTCCATTACTTGTTCTGCCTCTAACAGACCCTCTTCTCCTACTGATGTTAGGTGGGTTCCCTCTTTTTCTATTGCATTCATCTTTTATGTTCTAAAATTTCAATCTTGAATTGCAAAATTAAGATATGTTAAAAAGTTTTTGAGGTTAATGGCTGGAAATTTTATTTCTTTTTGTGTGTGGTTATGGATTGATCTATGGTCTGTGGTTAGTGTCGTGTAATTATGTAATTTTTTTTCGGAGTCATGAATGCTAGAAATTAAGAGGACCACTTTGAAACGAATTTGTTTGTGAGAAATTAGATTAACTGTAGCAAATCCAACTGAGATGGAAGGTAATCCTTGGTGGAATTTATGTTTCAAACTTGGGCCCTTTCCTAACGAACAAAAGGAGATGATGTGGTGAGATGAGGAAAGTTGATTGATATGGATTGGTTCAGCGAAGTAAGCCAACTAACAACTGATTTCAAAATGTTGTTTTGGAGTAATTTGGCGTATTTCAGGTTCTAGAAATTCAAACTGTTGGAAAGGAAATGTGTAGTGAAACACTTGATTTGGTGAAATGCAGATGTGGGATTCCTGTTGGTAGAATGGAATTTAATTAGTCGTAGTCTTGAGAGTTGTGATGGTATTCTTTCTAGTTGAATTTAGTGGAATTATGGGATATGGGACCAAGAACTTGGGAGTGAACGTCTTGAAGTGACTTCTAGGCTTATGTTACACTCCAGAAGATTTGAATTTTGTAATGTAAAGGTTGTGGCCAGTAGGAAAAAAGAGGTCGATTGCTTCCATTTCCATGGACCAGAATCTGTAGGTTCCAAAAAAAATTTCAAAATCTTGTCTTGTATATCTATGTACTTGGTATCTGGTTGCTGGAGCCTAATGACCTGTTGATCTTATGGCATCTCCTGTTGTACTGTACACCTGGGTGTCTTACATTTTGATTTCAATTTTTGATGTCCTCCCATATCTCTTGAAATTATTAGTAATTTTTTGCTAGTTATGTGCTTGATTTCTTGTTGTGTGATTATCTATGGCACTCACAATGATGTGAAGAGTTTGTATCAGTAAAGCATAAAAGAATTTATGCTTCATTTCAGAAAATTTTGTTATGCAAGAACAACGTGGCAAACTTTATTTCCAGTCCATTTTTTGCTCCATTGTTTATGCCATTTAATGGTAGCTGCTTATGAATTAGAATCAGAAACAAAAACTGTTACATTCGAACTTGTGAGATATTTCATGTTTGCTTCTCTTTTTTTTTCTTTTTTTACTGAAATCAATTGTGTTCAAAGTAGTAATGCAAGATGCAATTATTTCTTCTCAGTTTCCTCTCTGACTTGTTTTTCATTCAATGCTTCTGCTATCAGGTTCTTTTTACAAGTGAGGCTTCCTTGTAATTTTTCTTTTATTTGTTCTTCAGTTCTACAGCCAAGATAAGAAGTGAAGTTCTCTCTCCATTTCGGTCTGTGCGGATGTTTTTCTATCTAGCCTTTATTGCTAGTGGTGCTCTGGGTGGACTAATAGCAACCACACAACTTATAGCTGCACTCACAAATCCATCCAGAGCTGCTGAAGTCCCAGAAACATTGAAAAGTCTTGGAATAGACATTGGAGCAGTATCTATATTTGCATTCCTATATTACAGGGAGAACAATGCAAAGCAAGCACAAATTGCCAGGCTTTCAAGAGAGGAAAGCCTTTCAAATCTTAAGCTCCGTGTGAATGAAAAAAGGATCATTTCTGTTAGCTCTTTGAGAGGTATTGCTCGCCTTGTAATCTGTGCTGGCCCTCAATCCTATATATTGGAGTCTTTTAGACTTAGTGAGCCTTTCACTCAGAGTCTCTTGGATAGAGGTGTTCTGGTGGTTCCATTTCCTACAGATGGGAATTTACCAAGTTTTGAGTTTGATGAGAGCGAGGAGATGGAGGAGGTTACCACCAGAAGGAAACGACTCTGGCAGCTGAATCCTATCTATGTTTCTGAGTGGTCCGAGTAGGAATTCACATCAGCAAAATGTCTTCTAGTTTTATTCTCTCTCTCTCTCTCTCTCTCTCTCTCTCTCTCTCTCTCTCTCTCTCTCTCTCTTCGTCTCCTCCTCTCTTCTCTCTCGGTAACACATATATATTTGTAATTACAGGTGGCTAAAATGAGGGCAAAAGAATTTCGGCTGGGTGTTTTCTCCCTTGGAAAAAATTTTTTTTTCTTTCCTTGGTATGTATTATTTTTTTTTTCTTCTGAACTTATATCTTTTGGTTTCAGGGAAGTATGGACAGTTCTAGTCTCTCTCTCTCTCTCTCTCTCTCTCTCTCTCTCTCTCTCTCTCTCTCTCGTAACACATATATATTTGTAATTACAGGTGGCTAAATGAGCAAAAGAATTTGGCTGGTGTCTCCCTTGAATCTCCTGTGTATGTATATTTTTTTTTTCTTTGAACTTATATCTTTTGGTTTCAGGAAGTATGGACAGTTCTAGCATGCTAAAGTCTTTGGTTATCTCTGTTTGTTTTACAGGTATTTATCTCTGCGCCTGGATGGTCGTGTCCGTGGCAGTGGTGTTGGTTACCCTCCTTGGAATGCTTTTGTTGCACAATTGCCACCAGTAAAGGGAATGTGGTCAGGTCTCCTTGATGGCTTTGACGGAAGAGTTTAGGGAGTTCTATTTTGTTTCCTGTTTTTGGAGGTTAGTTACTTCTTTTAGGTTACAGAGTTAGGTTGTTCTTAAATGTCATAGTGTTCTCCAGCTTTATACTGATTAAGGTTGCTTGAGTCCCTTTCTTGTGGTTTTGGGCATCCGCCATTAGTTGTCTATGTAAATCCTCTTTCTTTTCTGTAATTTCCCTTGTGCCATTGCCAATTATCATTTTTAGCAGAACCTGGTGTTTTCATGTTTGTGACAACATTCAGTCCTTAAAATGTTGCCTGGAAACAAAATATTAATATGTTTGCAATTGGGTTCAGTTATATTATACCATTTAAAGATTTGGAATTGTGTTGCAAAATTTTCATATCCTGTGGTCCTTTTTTCTGTCGTTGACTTAATATACATATTGGTGCAGTTAACTGAAACTGTCGTATGAACAAGTTTCCTGCTGAGTGTTTTCCCTGCATTTCCTAACTAAAAGCCTAAAAATGCAGTACCCGAAATATTTAATATGATAAAAGTTTTTATTGTTTTCTGATTCTTATGGGAATAAAACATAGTTTAAGAATTATAATATTTTCAATCGTCAAAATACAATGACTTGGTGAAAATATTAATTCAGAGCCCCTTTCTCCTCGTGTTCTGTGAAATGCATCCTCCCAACCAAGCCATGCCTAACTTCTAGTTAGGTTCCGCAAATTGGTTTTCCGATGTATCGGATGACTACTTGTCAATGTTTTTTCAGTTTGTGCATACCATTCATTTCTCAACTTGACTGCACCCAAAAAATTACAGCATCGTATGATAGACTTAAATCATTCAAGCAACGATAGACTTAAATCATTCAAGCAGTAAACTGGAAAAAAAAAATACTGATGTGGCATCATCTTGGCTCAGGATAGACCTTTTTGTTCCCGAAAAGATTGTGTGAAATTAGTCTAAACAAAATGCTAACCAGAAGAATGCTTTTGGTTAGTTCATGGCACAGAATGTTTCTCCTCGTTACATTCTTTCCTTTCCTTAGATCATTGACAGTGCACTGCTTAGTTGGTTTTTTCAGTGGTCACATTAGTGTTTAATGCTTTTCCATTAAACCAATTAAGTCCCTATTATCAACATTTTTTTAAATTTAATTTTGGCAGCAGCAAGTGAAAGAGATTAACAAAGACTAGGACACAGAATCACTAAGGAGTATGATACGCACTTGTGACATAGATAAAAGCTAAGCTGGACAGTGGAGTAATATGAAAATCAAAATTACAGTAGAGACATATTACACACTCATTTAACTTCTTCAATTTCATCCAATGCGTAGTTGTTTGTAGATACATTCGCATAATTAACTTTGTTGAATCGAACCACAACCGGGTAACGTGTTTTGGGGTCCTGTCCAAAAGATAATCGAAAACAGTAATTAAACAACTATTGAACCAAATTAAAAATGACAAAAACAAGAGAAGAGGGTTTGAGGTAGAGACCAACCTGATCAACAGCTACAACAGATCCTATGCCATTGTACCAGTAGGATTCCCTCCTGAGAATCTTCACCTGTATATTTAGAGACATTTATCGGTAATTCTCATCTTAATGTTACTTATTACATTGATTTAAATTCTTCTCTTCTTTTCCAAGAAAAAAAAGTTAAAAAGTTATGATCTTCGTTTAAATCTTTATCAAATAATACTGATAACTAACCTTAGTTCCTCTCTTGGGACCAATTGGTGGTGGCTTAGGCTTTGGAGCTTCAGTTGCTGCTGGTGCTTCGGTGGTGGCTGGTGGTGCTGCACCTTCCTCAGCTGCCCTCACAACAAGCCTTGAACTGTTGTTGTTGTTATTGTTCTTTGCAGGGAAGAACGCCATGTTGGTTCTTGAACCTGAATTGGTATTGGATGAAACATTAGGAGTTAACAAGAACCCAGAAGCAGCAGATGCCATGCTGCAGCTAGCCATTATTCTTCTGCTTCAATCTTTTTCTTTAGACTGTTTCTATCTCTAATGGCTAAAAAGTAGAGAGTTAGCAAAGGACAGGAAATATGAGATTGAGAGGCTTTGAATTAACAAACACAGAATTATTTTTCTTGTGGGAATTATCTGATCTTGGAAATTAATGTAAATCGTTTCCTCCACTAGGGTGTTGCCACTTATGCACCATATCCCATTTCTTTGGATAATGTTATTACAACTCATCCTCTTTAGTTCTTTGTTTTGTTTATATCTCGGTTCCTTTGAACTCGCTGAGTTGCCTAACCTACTTGACTCGGTGTCCCTTCCTAAATTTGAAAACGCCCTTTTTTTTTAAAAAAAAAAATTAAGTTTTGAGGTTTAAATTTAATTTTTAATTACTTAGAATTTATTGTGTGCCTTATTTTATGAAATTAGTTTTAAGAAAATTATATTTCCTTAGAGTTGATATGAGGGCAACACCTTTTTTTTTTTTTAAGGGTCAACTATATGAATTATTTAAACTTATTTAAATTGATAAAAACTAAAATTCTTATTATATTAAAACTTTTATTTTACGATAAACAAATTAATTTGTTTAATATTTGGATAAATAACTATTTAGTCTCTTTGGTTTGTCATAATTATAAATTAAACCTTCCTTAATAAATCAATTAATTATTCTATAAGATTTATCTCTATTAAACTATTTGATTCTTTGATAAAAAAATATCATTTTTTAAAGCGAGAGAATAAATAGTAATTAAAATATAAATATGGTAACGCTATATTAAATATGAATGATTAAATAGTCAAATATTACATGCTTTTTATTATTTAATGGAGTATATTTATTAATATAAGAAGAATGAAATTATAATGATGATTAAACTTACGAAATAAATATTAATTCACCCTTAATCTTTTTACAATAATTTAAATTGTAGAAGTAGGGGTTTCCAATTTCCTCCATGAAACTTAATGGGTGATGCTATGGGCTTTCTATTGGCCCTCCAGTTCAAAACAATTAAGATTAAGTCAAACGACGTCGAATTAACGACTACATATAACTCAACTTGAATGAACTTTTGGCGCCACGCACATCGGAGGGTTAGGGTTTTGATTTTCAAACGATTAAGCAGATAGAATTTCAAATGAAGAGAAAAAGTTCCCAAATCAACATCGAAGATCGATCTCCGATCCGATCTTCGTTTGCAAGAGGTTTCTACGGAGTTAAGAGCTCTAAAGCTCGATTAAACGCTACGTCTAGAGAAACCCAAGGCAATTCTTTCTAATTTATACAGCTAACAAGGAATTTCGAAATTTCATACTTATAATTCAATTGAAGTTGTTCCAATTTTACAGCGAGTTTTTTTATCCTCGTCCGTCAATTTTGATTCCATTTGAATCTCTTCCTTTTTAGGTATTGACAATGGTGAATTGCAAGAATCTCCATCAGTTCCTATACAAAGAAATCAGGCTCCAAGATGTGAGTTTGCTATTTTCTAATTACGCGTTATTGTTGTATAATTGTATTTGTTAAAATTCATCTTGCAAGGGTAGAATTCGTACAATTTATTGATTGAATTAGAATTCCAGTTTGAAATTCTAATGATTTGGTATCAAATGCAGCTGATGACCCCAAAACATCAGAATTTGCTTTCTTCAAGAAATTAAAGGAAGATGCAGCTCATAATTCTCTTCCCCATTCACTGTCTCAAAATAAAAACCAATCTGTAAAGTTCAAATCAACTGATTGTTCGAGAGGTGGGTTTGAGGAAGTCATGTTTTTTTAACTTCAGCAAAGTATAAGCTTTGCAATATATTATTGGGTTTGTAAGCAGTGCTGCAATAGCTTGTGTGTGTGTGTGTGTGTGTATACACACGTACATATACATTTTTAGTGCATTTGACTGGTAGTTTTTTATGCATATATCTATTTTTAGACTAATTTAGCTTAAAACATATGCATTGGATGCAGAGAGAGCCAGTGTTATCGAGAATAAACATAATGATTTCAAGTCCTCATCGCTTCCTAAAAATGTAACACCTGATAATTTTGCCTCATTCCTCTCACCACTTGGTAATTCATCGAAGAAGTCAGGTAACGTGTTCCCTGTTCTCTTTTGCTGTAAAACGAATATTGAGGAAGAGAAATGAAAGGAACTGGAGCTATGTGTTCCCAATTCCTGATATTATAAAGTTCCTCGTACAAAATAAACCTTGTTTCCATTGCTCTCGTGTGTTTCACAAGCAAATTAAATATCGATTAATTATTGAAAGTTGTAAGCTTTTATTTTTAACAAAGCAAGTCAGAATGTAGTTGATGGATGATAGTTTCAACAATTGTAAAGAAAATAAGTTATAATGAATAGTTAGTGGTTCAAGTACACAAATTAAAACATGCTTCACTTTGCAATAAATTCCTTATCTTATGGAATAATCAATGTTGTTTTCCATGGTCATGCATAATCACCATCTTCTTCTTTTTCCAATTATTTCTGAGTAAAGCTTCCAATTTTGTTACTATATTCGATATTAATCTAAAATTACTTCATGGTGTTAAAATATTTCCTCCCTTCTGTGAATAATCAGTGTTGTCTTTTTTTGTTGGTAGGGGTAGACATAAAGAAATCTAGTACAACCTGGATAGATATACACAGTGCACAGGAAAAAGTGAAGGAATATGGTAATGCGTTAAGAGGTTGAGTTTATCCTCATCGCCTACTCCCTTTTTTTTTCTTTATTGAAGAGATTATGAAAGAATATATAGAATCTAATCAAATATTTGGGATTTTTATAATGCTCTTCTGACACTTGTTCTTCATACCAATCTTTTTTGAACTGATTTGTATCCATCTTCTTGGCAACAATACGAGCCCTCATTATGTGCGTACTTTGGCACTGCTGACCTTAAGATTATGTTTTGTTTGGCGGAAGTCATTTTTCAATCTGCAAATATCCTTTTCTCCTCTTTCTTTTCTACCCAGCTCGGGAATGCAATAGTCTTACTAAACTGAGAATGTAATGTCATATGCTTATTTAAACACAATCACTGTCTCAACTTTTCAGGGAATCGATGCAGCAATGCTGACGTCTTTACCAGAAAAAGACAGAAACTACGTCAATTGGTTGCAAATACCTCGTTTCCTGAAGTTGATAAACTCTGTTCTAAGGGGTTAGACACATCACTATTAATAAGCCATTTCATTTTCATTGTTCTACATTCATGGACAGGATAAGAAATTTTCACAGGTATGATATTGTCTCTGCATTGCTCAGTAAGCTGTTCCCTGAGAGCAATGAGGACCAGGTATGATTCTTTTCCTTCTGAGGAGACATATATTCTTTAACGCGTGTAAGTAAGGAATATGGTACTGTTTCTTGCAGAGTTTTGGGCTTTTAGAGACGAGGAAATTGGACATTGATGCCAAATCCAGGTCATTTACTTCTCCAGAGTCAGATATGGACTTCAAGAAATCTGATTGGATGCCTAAAAGGAATTTTTTGGAACTTGAATGTGGGGCCTCCTTTGATGTTGAATTCTCATCTTGTTGGTCTGAAATACCCAGAGCGCTTCCAAATCCCAACTCTCCGGGCTGTTATTTTCAGACAACTTATTCTGACAACAGAATAATGGAGGTTGATCATGAGATAGGAGAAAGAACCGCTCCAATTTTATGCACTAAAGTTGATTCAGCTTTTGATTTCCATATCAATAGACATAGATCTCTTACAATGGGGCATCTCAAAGAGTTTGATGAATTCCATTATCCTATCAAAACTGTGCACAGAAAGCCCCAGGCTCTTCTGCTTGGTGGCGAGTTAGATAACGCGATAAATAAAGAGCTGAGCTTGTGTCCCGTCCTGTCAGGTTCATATGGCAACGATCTCCAGCTGAATCTCGATAACCATGTCATTTCGGGTGGATTAACTGCGTCTTCACTTCAGTTCGCCCCTTCAACAAGCAACAACAGTGATAATTTTGAAGAATGTTTTCTTCAAGTTAAGGATGACAACATTGTTAAAGTTATTAACAATTTTTTGTTACCCTTATCACATGCAGCAAACCATCTGAATTCGAGTGATTATTATCGTTACGACACCACATTCAAAGATAGCCGGGTCTTGCTTTCTCCTCAAAACCACCTTTGGTTTATCAGAAAGGAACTGAATGAGGACCATTATTGTCTCAACAAAGAAGCATTATTCTCCCCTGGACTAGATTTTTATCTAGAGCCAAAGTGCGTACTACCAGTAAGAGATTCTTTAAAAGATGATTACTCATATGCTTGCCCTGCTCTTGAATTTCATCGAAACGAAGGCCTATCTTCATACTATCTGCTTGGAGATGAGAATGCAAATTGCTTAGATGGTTTAAGTAATAAAAAGATCATGAACGATGAAACGGTTAATTTCAATGACTGGTCCACCTTTTATTTCGAAAAGAAGGTATGTTCTTTGTTACTCGATAAATCAAACAGATATGAATCTGAAGGAGATATATAGTGTGATGTCAAACCAAGTGAAATATGAAGTTTCCTATGGTGTATTTTTGTCCTTGCTTTGTAAAAAAATATTATATCGCCTCGAGGCTAACGGGTTACAATTTCAAGAGAGTTTTGAAGGTAGGCTTACATATATGTTTTACGGGGTATTGCTATGGATGTGATCCGCAACAGAAAGCTTTTGAAGCGGCTTTTAGTGTTTTAACTAAACGTTATTTTTTTTTTTTATTCGGTAATATAGTGTTTAAATTAGTTTTTAGAGGTTAATGTAGCATTTTATAAAAAATTAACTCATGTAATATTTAGTTTTTAGCGCTTTATGAAAGCTATTTAAATAACTATAAAAACAATTAATTTAGCTAAATAAACCCTATGTAATGTTTAACTGGTTGGAAATTGAGCTACCATTCTTGATGGTATTGATATTTGTTGCTTTGGGTCACAAGTTTTACAATCTAGATCACATTCCTAGTACCAAGTCATTAAGATCAAATCTTTCTTGTGATTTTATGTCCTGAAACAGTAATACCTGTCCCAACCAGTTGGCCAAATGTTTATTTTTTCTTTGAACATGGACTTGCATTTTTTTTTGTTGCTGGTAAAGAATGCATACTTCATTAAGAATAGTGATCACTTTTACTGCAAAGAGCAAATCTCTTATTTCAAGTGGTACGATGAATCAACCTGATTGATTTATAAATTATTTTTAATAGTATCCTTTGCTTAAAGGTTTTTGACTCTTTCCTTTTATTTTTATGGAAGTAGAGGACACTTATCACTCCCATCGACACGCATGAGAAATTTTTATTTTGGTTTGGTAGGCTTAATCACTTACTATCACTTTGTTGGTCACCTAACTTTTGACCTCTTTATATGCAATTTTATGCGTATCTAAAGGCGTAAATTATATTAATGTCCGAAGTCATTCCATAATAAATATCCCAAACCCAAGCAAATTCCATTAAAACTCTTATTGAAATCATTTAAAGGACAAAAACGAACACACCTGGCAACAGCCCCGCCCGCTCCGGCGAGACTCTCCTCCTTAACTGCCATTTCTTCCTCAAAAAAAAAAAAAAAAACCTAAATCAACTTACTATCACTGTTGGTTTCACCTAACTTTGACCTCTTATATGCAATTTTATGCGTATCTAAAGGCGGTACAATATATATTAATGTCCGAAAGTCATTTCCATAATAAAATATCCCAAACCCAAGGCAAAATTCATTTAAAACTCTTATTGAAATCAATTTAAAGGACAAAAAACGGAACACCACCTGGCAAACAGCCCCGCCCGCTCCAGGCGAGACTCTCCTCTTAACTGCCATTTTCTTCCTCAAAAAAAAAAAAAAAAAAAAAAAAACCGTCACCTCGTTCAATTAAGTCTTACTAATGTGGTCCCACTTTGCCACGTGACTGTGCCCACTTTGTCTGCTGACCTCATTTGTCTGTTGCTATAACCACCATTCAGTTGATCCCTTTACCTGACGAATCTGCCCCTCTCTCGTCAATAACCCGTTCTTTAGGTTCCTTAGTCTTTATAAGCTGATGATGATAGTTTCTTCTTCCTTTTATTTAAACAGAGCACCATTAATAACTTTTATATAATTTTATTTTATTTAAATAATTATTGTATAACATAATAATAAAATGGACTTCAATCTTCAATGTAAAAGGGCAGAAATAACACTTAATTTGCTCCTAGATTTAGTGCAATATATAATTTATCAAAAAAATAATTATCAAAAAAATCTTTTTTTTTTTTTTTTTGTGAAATTATCTCTTTAGCTTCCATATTTTAACAATTAACAAAAAAATAAAATAATAATTTTTAATATTTTTAACTGATAAAAATTAATACTATTATTAAGTATAAATTATTATTATTAAAAAAAAAAAATCCATGTATTTCTGCCACCCACAATAATGATAAGTAAGAATAAAAACAGTTCAACATAATTAATTACATCCAATTAAATTTTGTAACTTTGCTATTTTTGGATAAGACAAGAACATCCTTTGAAAATAACATGTAATGACAATTCTAATATGCAATAAATGGAGCATGTTCATCTCTTATTGCCCAATTTTGGATGCATATGCAATTTGTACAATTTTCAAATGTTAATTCATCTCTTATTGCCCAATTTTGGATGCATATGCAATTTGTACAATTTTCAAATGTTAAAATAGAAATATGTAATAATAAGATTTTGACTTTACTTTTAATTTAGTTATTAATAATTAGCTTAATTGTCCATTTCTTTGATTAAAAAATTTTATATTTCGTATCTTACCAAAAAAAATATTATTAGTAAACCAAAATATTTCAACTATATAACATAATTTCAAATTCCACTTTGTGGTTTCACAAGTCAACTATTGAAAGAAACCCCTTTTCATTTGCATGTTTCTTTCCACCATGATATTGGGTTGTTGAATGGACCATCAAATTTTTTAATAAATATTAAAATTATTACTATAATGTCTAATAACTGAATTTCATCAATTAGTTTGGCTGATTAAAAGAAAAAATATTATTCAGCATGATTTATAATTATATATCGAAAAAAATACTTCATCCGACTCATAAAAATATGTCTAATTTAACTTCAATAGATTAAAAATATATAACTAATATAATTAAATATAACTTATATACCCTTATAGTTTTTTCTTAATCCATGAAGACTTGTATTGTTATTAGATTGTCTAATAATAAATTTCACAAATATAATAAAATAACCCAACTCCACATATTGAACTTTGATCGATAAGTTGATTATGGTAATTCTTAAATTTAGTGTATCAAAAAATTTCTTTAGAGAAAAAATTTATAAGAATTTGAATTTCTGATATTTTCTATTATGAACGAGATCACTAATTCTTAGCAATTAGCTACCATCAATTTCTTTTACGGGAGCTTATTTTGTTTTTCTGATTTTTAATATAGTATTACCTTGAAAAAGAGATATTCAAAGAAATAGTAGTTGAGTGAATTAAATTATTGGTTGCAAATTTTAATTTTGGCCATGAAAGATTTTGTTGTGAGGTCATAGTGGTTGGTGGTACGTCCCTTGCCTTGCTACCTCTAAATATCCATAACCTTCTTCTTCTTTTATTTTTTTATTTTTTTATTTTTTGTATGGTCGATGTCACTGTTCAAACAATCCACACTAGCCACTGGCTAGGCTTCATATGCCCCATGGAAGTCTAGACATATATAATATTATAATGAACAAAAAAAAAAAAATACAATAAATTTTTGAATCCTCGTAAAATATTAATCTAAATCAAAAATATCTAAATGGTCGATATAAGTTTGTGAAACTATTTAGTTTCTGTTTAGTGAATTATAAGAAATGTAATCTAACGTAATCAGATTATATTATAAATATATTTAATTATCACCCGTTGATATTAGTGAAAATCAATTGAATATTCAAGTGAATTTTATTTATTTTAATATTATAACTTATCATGGCGTAAAAATACATGTGTAAATAAATAAATATTTAATTATATTTTATTACAGTCTGTTAGAGCTGATTAAATAATATCGTACTATCACTTTAATATAATGTAATTTTAATATATATATATATATAATGCACCCACCGCCATTATATTTCATGCTGTAAAAACTTATGATAATCACATCTCAACGGAAATCGTTTTTGATCATTTTTTTAAACATGCTAGCTGCCAGCATATCAGTCCAGTGGTAAATATATATGCGGACCGACAATAGATGTAGGTTTAAATCTCCTTTCTCAATATTTAAAAAAAAAAATTGCCAGCTGTCAAGTTGGCATTGAAGTGTAAGATTATCCATGAGGGAACGTCCATGTGTTATTTTTCTAAAAAATATTAATGAGGTATTATTATTTAATTTGTGATTGAGTAGTTGAATGTTTGTCTAAAATTCATAGTTTAAATTTAACCTTTTTTATTTTTTAAAAAATATTTCTTACTTATAAAAAAATATAAGTTGGACTGCATCTTGATATAGAGGTGCTATTATTAGAGTAGATTCATTTAAATACCACTTCCATTTAAAACGTAAATATATATATATATTCAAATAAAAATAAATAAATTGGGACATATACGAAATTGGTAAAAATAATATTGATAGAGAAGACTATAATTCAAATCGTGTCATTGTAGAAGGATTTTGGGAAATAAATTAAAAAAAATAAAATAAAAGCACGAACATTTGCAGTAGTAAGGCGTGCAGAAAGGTGGTATTAATTTGTATTAGGAAAAAAAAAAAAAAAAAAAAAATTTGCAGTAGTAAGGGCGTGACAGAAAGGTGGTATAATTTGTATTAGGGAGAAAAAAAAAAAAAAAAAACAAAAAAAAAAAAAAAAAAAAAAAGATAGAGTGACGTGTCTCTTATAAAATGCCAACGTTTGAAAATTGAACATGTTGGCTCCTCTTGACCAATCAAGAAAGTAGAATGATGATAAGTAATGATTTCAACTATAGTTCATTAAGATAATTAAAATTGGAAAGCAACTTAACTTTATGATTACTATGTAATTATTAACTCACATTTTGTCCTTAATTAAGGTGATCGATGCACTCATATCCCTCTTTTTGTAATATCTTTTTATTTATTTTTTCAAATAATTGAAATTTATCCGATATAAAATATTCTATATCGTATCATATCTATTTTTATTTTTATTGTCTTATTAATTAAAATCGGTTATATATTTTTTAAAAAATATTTATGTAATGTTTAACTTTTTAAAATTCTATAAAACGATATTTAAATAGCTAACAATTAAACCTTATTAAAATAATTAACAGTTATCAAAACAGTTAATTTTCGAATAAATCATAAATTATTATTTTAAATTAAAATGCGAATTTGCAACCGCTAATAATTTGAGGGTCCATACTTACCCATGAAAATGATTTCCCCCACCATTGTGAAATCAATTTTAGCTTTATCACCAACATTTTTTTGGACAATATCTAATTTTTAAACAATTATTATAGTGTAAAGGTAGTATATTCCTACTAATAAATTAACTAATCATCTCCACAGTACTTAGACTTGCCTGTAATAACTATACTTGATGAAGAGTAGAGGACCACAGCAGCAAGCAAATGAAATTATTTTATTATTTAATATAATAATACTACTATTTTTCTGAGTTATTTTAGTTCAATGGCATAAGATATCATCTTTTAAAAGCCAGAAGAATGATTACAATTTAAATTTTGTTTTGGATTTCAATTTTCAAAATTATCACTTTGCCTATACAACTTCAAAATTTTCAAAGTAGAGTCAATCAATCATTTTTAAAGAAAAAGGAAAAAAAAACTATATGCAAATAAATTGAAATAGTTATATAAAATGGGCGCGAGTGAATATATATATAACACTAATTTAAATATAAAATTCCTGTTATTTGATTGTAATATTGAAAACTAATAAAAAATTATTAAAAATTTTAATTTATAAGAATCATAAAAATATTTAGAATTAAGCAAAACTCATATCCAAAATATTATTGTTTAATATGAAAAATGCATAAAAATAAAAAAAAATGCAAATAATTTGTGATTGATAATTATCTGTGTATTTATAATTATGTTTTGAAAATTTTGTTTTTCCCAAAAAAGGAAATTTATTTTCTTATGACATGAGCGATCGATTTTAGAAAATTTTAATATCTCTCACTTTTCATAATTAAACAAATTGATTTATTTTCTGATTTTAAAAAAATATTTTCTGAAAACAAACAGATTCTTAATATATAAATATAATATAATACCATAAATCCGATCGATTATAGTAAGTGAAAAACAGAATGTTGTGGAAGACAGTTTTCACCTTAAATCATGTTACCTTTAGACAATTTAAGAAAAAACAAATTAATAGTTGCTAGTGTAATTTATAATTCATCTAAAGATTATTAATTAATTGCCTTAAAAAAAAAAAAAATACTATTTGTTGATTATTTTAATTTTATTTTACGTCGTTTACTGTTAACGCTTTCTATCTCTGTTGTTACGTTCTCTCTCCGTAAGCGTAATCGTAACACATAAATCAATCGCAATTAAACAATTCCATTTAAAGTCCGACGCTCTGTCGGTGAACAAAATGCCGATTTCTCTCTCTGCTTAACTCACAGTTACTGCGCACAAACTTGCAGATCTCCAAACGACCATTGTCCACGGCGAATCTCTGGTCATATTCTCACCGGAATGTCAATTCCCGGCCACCAGGTACCAACCCAACCCTTTTTTTTATATCTAAAATGGATTTTTTCTGCTCTCTTTCTATTTTTGCTTTTATTATTTCTCTTAACTTTTTGCTTCCTTTCTTCGATCTCGCTCATTTCAATGCTCTTATGATTATTATTTCCTCTTTTTCCTTACTTGAATTGCCGAATCTAATCCTCTGTGTCTCCTCTATCTCTTGATAGATTTTGCTCTCTGTGGAAAGTGCAGCTTTTTGGAAGCTGTTTTATGTTTCGTGGATACACATTCTGCTTTTATTTCTAAATGTACTTTGGTTCTCAACTGATTTTTGAATCTAAAGTTTTCATTTTTTATTTTATTTTACTTTATTTGCCTTTTTTTTTTTTTGTCTTCTAATTGCTCTTTTGATTTGCATGATATTAGGCTTATTGTAAGGTTTTTGTTATGATTTTTTCTGTTAACTTCATTTCTGCCTTTTATTTCGCTTTGAGTATTGAATATTTGGGCTTTGGTTTTCAATTCGGTTGAATTGGCAGTGCATGGAGACTTGATCACTTTTTTTAATTTGGAGTATTTCAGGGCTGATACTAACTACAGTGACGCACTTGATGTGATTTATCGGTAGAGAATATGTTGGAATCTCGCTGTAGTTTCTCGTTTATTCTTTTTCTTTTTCTCTTTAATCAAAGCCTTTGTTGTGATTTGATTGGCTTTTCTACTTTCTTAACGAACTGTTTTCTTTCCCCTTCTGATGTCTTTCTCTAAATTCTCGTGCCAAATTTACCCATTTGTTGTTCACTCACAAATCAATACCTTTCACCTCGCAAATTTCTGGGAAAAGGGGGGAAAAAAGGACACAGTTTAATGGGTATCTTTTTTTTTTTTTGATTAATTAGTTTGAATTTGAATATCTCTGAGCTTGAAGCTCTTGTGCAGAGTATTACAAGTTTGGTTTTGATGTGTACTGGGTTTTGGGTGATCTGTCTAGAGCAGTAACTTTTAGGCTTCTTTCTTCCTCCTCCCCTTCCTTTTCCTGCAGGTACTATTAATGCATTACTATATAACTGTTAGATTTCATCCTTTTGTGAAATGCACTATTCTTTAAACTATTTTCTGGCTTCCTTTTGTCTTGTTATAGAGCTTGTTCTGTTTGTTTCTTTTTTTGCTTTTGTTTCTTGTAGTCGATTTTGCTCTTTTTTTTTCTTTGTTATTTCTCTTCATTTCTGTTTAGGAGCTTTTCCTATCTGTATCCTCCCTTTATTCTCTCTCCCTCGGGTGATAAACTAACTTCAAAACTGTAAATTGTGGACACCAGGTGTTGAGATGAATGGGATTCAGGGTAGAAAGACTCAGAATGTAGAGAAACCCTTTCCAGGATGCTTGGGCAGAATGGTGAGCCTTTTTGATTTGGCCAATGGTGTAACTGGAAACAGGCTGCTTACTGATAAACCACATCATGATGGTAATATCGTTTTTCTACGTTTTATGTATTTCTTTTAAAGGAAATGGCTATTTTGAGCTCCAAAAGCATGATAAATGTTGATTATCTTTAGTAGTTTCATTCAGCATATAGGTTTCTTGTCTAAACTTTGCTACAAAAAAAACTTTAGTAGTATTTTAATATTTTCTTAGTATACTGACTGTTTGATTAAATTGATCAGTTAAAATGTTTCTCATCTATAAAGTCATCCTTTTCCAATCACATAGAACTATAGCTATGTCAATTAGGCATTAGGTTATATCAACTCAAATTGAAGGCATTTGGTTACATCAACTCAAATTGAAGCTTCAGGTTGGCTCACACATTGGGTACGTATTCATTTCAAATTGTTGATCTTGATATGTGGTGGTTTGGCAGGCTATTCACTTTCAAGGAGCCGTTCAGATGTGGCAAGGATGAAAAGTTCCTCCTTTGGAGATCACGTTGAAGATAAAATGGTAAAAAATCTGGAGTATTTATTGGAAATGCTAATTTAGATCAGTTAAGAAACAAATTTGTGCAGAAAACTTGCATGCATTTGTTTGGTGTTGCATTTTAATATGCTATGAGATAGTCTCTTGATTTGCTCGGTATTGTTGGTTTGCAGATTGTGTCTGAATTAAGGAGAAGCTCCTCAAATGCGAAAGCAAATGGAACACCCATGAAGACACTCATTGCCCAAGAAATGTCCAAGGAAGTGGATTCTAGACATAATCCACCCAATGTGGTGGCCAAGTTGATGGGACTTGATAACCTCCCACATCAGCAGTCTAATTCAGCTACAGAAAGGAGCCACTCAAAATGTTATTCGAGACGTTCTTTAAGTCACTCGGGGATCCTAGTGGACTGCTGGGAGCAAGATCATAGTTTTCCAGACAAGCAAATGCACTCTGAAGGTCACCGATGTGAAGAGCAAAATGAGTACAAAGATGTATATGAGATCTGGCAGCAGTCCCAAAAGACAAATGCCAGGGATAGTTCACCCCACAAGGGAAGGTATAATGAAAATGCAAATGAGAAAAAGATGGCCCTTGTTCGCCAAAAGTTCATGGAAGCAAAGCGTTTGGCCACAGATGAGAAAGGCTGCCAGTCTCGAGAATTCCAAGATGCATTGGAAGTTTTAAGTTCCAATAGAGATCTTCTCCTGAAGTTTCTGGAAGAACCTAATTCCATGTTCTCTCCACATCTTTATGATATGCAGCCTATTCCTCCACCTGAGACAAAACGCATCACTGTTCTTAGACCTTCTAAGGTAATTAATAATGAAAAGTTTGCAGGACTGGGGAAGAAGTGTGATAAACAGGCTAAGAAACCTGAACAGACCGGTCAAGCTACTGTGTGGGAAAAAAGTAACTCTGGCTATTCGCCTACTTTTGCCAATCAACGGTTTGAAGAATATCCCTCTCAGCCAACTCGGATTGTAGTATTGAAGCCTAGCCCTGGGAAGACTCATGACACCAAGCCTTTGGTGTCACCTCCTTCCTCATCCTCAAGAACAATGCAGGGTGAAGAATTTTATGAACTTGAAGATGATGAGGCACAAGAACCAATGGAGGTGGCAAAGGAGGTCACACAGCAGACTCTCCTTTCTTCTGTTTTTTCCAATGGCTATATTGGTGATGATAGTTCTTTTAACAGATCAGAGAATGAGTATCCAGTGGGAAATCTCAGTGATTCAGAAATCATGTCACCGACTTCTAGGCATTCATGGGATTATATCAACAGGTTTGGTAGTCCTTATTCTTCTTCCTCTTTCAGCCGTGCATCATGTTCTCCAGAGTCTTCTGTTTCTAGAGAAGCAAAGAAGCGACTTTCTGAAAGATGGGCTATGATGGCATCAAATGGGAGTTCTCAGGAACAAAAAGCTACTCGGAGAAGCTCTAGCACGCTGGGTGAGATGCTAGCTCTTTCAGAGACAAAGAAGTCAGTAAGATCTGAGGAGGAGACTACTAACAAGGAACAAGAACCAAGGGGATCAACTTCTTGCTTGGCTAGTAATTTGGACAGGGAAGAAATTGTGGCTGCTTCTCCTAAAAGTCTCCTGAGGTCTAGATCTATGCCTGTGTCTTCTGCAGTGTATGGTACTGGGCTTAATGTTGAGGTTCCAGATTCCGAGACTGGCAAAACAGAAGTTGCCAAGGAGCTGACGAAGGCTAAGAGCACGAAATCATCTTTAAAGGGAAAAGTTTCTAGTTTATTTTTCTCAAGGAATAAGAAATCAAATAAAGAAAAATGTGGTGCATCTCTCTCTAAAGATGAAGCTCAATCTGCCGCTCCTGAAACAGCAGGATCACCAATACCCCGTTTTGGAAATGTCTGTGTTGGTGCATCTCCATCCACTAATAATGGCGGCCTTGAAGGTAGCTCGTCTCCTAGTTTACGTGGACCATCAAGCAAAACTACTTCTCCTGATTGGGTTGGCATGTCTACAAAACAAGGGTTTGTTTCACGGGAGGTATGCCAATGCAAGCCTTTTTTTTTTTGTTTTCTATATTTGATTTATGCTCAAGAGAAGTGGCCTCCTCGTATTTCCCCATCTATCTTTGCCAAGTCCCGTTTCTACTTGTGACTTATCTTTGGTTTTCTAAATAGTTTTAGTTGAAGAAAATAATGATCCCACTAGAGTGGGTAGAACCTATAGCTAGAAAATTGCCTTCTAGGTGCCATTATTATGCGAGGTATTACAACTATATGGTGTCCTGATGCTTTTGGGCTTATATTGCATTACTAATTTCCATTGTGTGTGTGAATATCAATATTTTTCTTTCCATAACTGAATATCGAGCCTTTAATAACTCATCATTAAATCTTATATATATATATATGTATATAGGGAGCCTTGTCAGTGGCAAAGCCAGGGAATACAAGGGAGAACCAGGATCAGCCAAGTCCCATCTCAGTTTTAGAACCACCATTTGAAGAGGATGACAACACAGTTCCTGAGCTTTCTGGCAATATCAGGACAAGCCGCCGAGGTAAACTTCGTCGTAGCACCAATTTAAAAGTTAATGATACATTAACTGCGTCCTTAACTATCTTAAACTTGTGTTCATTTATTTATTTATTGTTGTAACAGGAGCAGAGGTGCCTCTTAAATCTAATTTGATAGACAAATCGCCACCTATAGAATCCATAGCTAGGACCCTATCATGGGATGATTCTTGTGCTGAGACAGCTACAACATATTCATTAAAAGCCTCTTCAATCTCTTCATGTCCAGAAGAAGAAGAACAAGACATGCGCTTCTTCATCCAAACACTGTTATCAGCAGCCGGCATTGATGGCAGCACGCCATTAGATTCAATTTTTGCTAGATGGCATTCACCTGAAAGTCCATTAGATCCTGCATTGAGAGACAAATATGCTAATCTAAATGACAAGGAGCTTCTACACGAGGCGAAACGAAGACAGAGGCGATCAAACCAAAAACTTGTGTTTGATTGTGTCAATGCGGCACTCGTGGAAATCACCGGTTGTGGGTCAGACAGGAGCATAAGGGTTATACAGGGGACACCACCCACACTAGTGGAGCACATATGGGCCCAAATGAAAGAGTGGTTTTGTAGCGAAGTGAGGTGTACTTTTGAGGACAGTGGGGACAGCTCCAGCTTGGTGGTGGAGCGGGTGGTGAGGAAGGAGGTGGTGGGGAAAGGGTGGATTGATAATATGAGAGTGGAATTAGACAATTTGGGAAAGGAAATTGAAGATAAATTGCTGGCAGATCTTGTGGAGGATGCTGTGATTGATCTGACAAGTTGGGTTTGATGAACCTATATCTTTTTTAATCTTACCTTTTATTTTTCCCTCTCTATTTACGGCAACTCTTATTTGTCTATTTGTGTATTTGATTCTCAACAATGATGGTCCCTACCACCCCCACCTCCCCATTTGTTCAATGCTGCAAGTGATTAAATTAATATCTATTTTGTCAACTTGTTTGGTTTTGGTGTTCTTGTTGATAATATAGTATGCCTGCTAACCTGTGACTATTAGACTATCAAAGTCTTCCTGTTATATGCATATTTTTTTCCATTCTGTAAATCTGCCATGGCAAAAGCTAGTTTTGGAGGTTTTGTCCTGATATATTTGGTATTTTTCCAGTGGAGAGATGGGTCTGTGGGGACTGACCCACTTGAAGATAAAGCTCCAAGCTTGACACGGTGAGGCCATTTCTTGTCCTCAATTAAATGGTTAAACTGAGTTATTTCTGATGAGACTGGGCCATATCAAATTTATTCACATTCTCCAAAGCTTTCTGCCACTATGTAACTCCTAGGATGACAAAGAAGAACAACAAAAAGTCTAAGAGATCATCTTTTCTAAAATTTGTTTCACACTGGGCTTGAATGCATTTTCAAGTTTACTAGGGTTTTTTTTTTTTTTTTACCCGGTTTTGAATGTTGTTTGCATATTCTTGTTTCCCCGTTTCTCATAATACCAGCAAAGTATTACCTTTCCACCTTAAACGCTAACAGCTAATCACAATTGTTAAACTTGGTAAAATGATATTGTAATGGAAATAGACAATATATACTCATTTAGAAAGCTAAAAATAAATTGCATATGGCAATGACATATACCAAACCCTAATATATTTTTCAGATTAGGTATTTGTTATGGTGACTTGTCGCTTTCGTCTATTCATATGTGAAATATATGTATAAATCTTCTTTCTTTTCCCTTTTTTTTTTTTTTTTTTTTTTCTTTCTTTTCCCTTTTTTTTTTTTTTTTTTGATTCCCTTATTCTTTTATTTTTTTAAATTCCTATTCGTCCTTTTTTTTTTTTTTTTTTTTGATTCCTTATTCCTTTTATTTTTTAAATTCTATTCGTGGTCAAATCATACAACAGGATATATCCTCTATCTACCATATTTATTCTGAGCATGAGTTACGTGAACCAAAATGTAGGTGGATTACATAATAAAAAGAAATTTTTTAATCTTGTTACTGTTAATAATTTAATCTATTAAACTCTCTTAAATATTTATTTATTTTTAATTATTGCATGTTTAAAATTTTTATTTTCTTAATGAACATTGGAATCATTAAGCTTAAATTGAATTAAAGAATTATTATTATTATTATTATTGATGCTACAAAATTTTAATAATTTTTAAAAAATTAGAAAAAAAATTTGTCTAATTTTGATTCCAAATTAAAATTGAATTGAATAAGGCAATTTCAGAAAAAAATTTTAGAAATTGCACAAGGGTAATATGGTTTCAGTTTTTTTTTTTTTTTTTTTTTCTTTCAACTGGAATTGACAATTTTGAAATTGACTGTCCCAAACCATGGTTCATGCCTATTTTAATCAATATTTTTTTAATGTTGAAAATTAAAATAAGTCATAATATCCACAAATCCTCCCATATCCATATCAAAACCCGAACGTGTCTTGCAATGTAAATTTCAAATTATCAACTAGAGTGTCTTGCAATATGAGATTATTACGTAGTAAAAGAAAAGTTACATTTCACTTCAATCAATTAATTATTTATACTTTTCATCAAAGGGAAGAAAATAAAATAAAAGAGGGTTTCTTTTAAGCCATACTGGTACTTAAAGTTGGCTGAGCTGAAACTATAGGGCCAAAAAAAAGATAATCATGAGAATATAATTAATGGGCACTTCTCAAAACAAAAAAAAAAAACCATAATATTCTAATAATGGCAGACATTGAGACACAGGCAAAAGTGCAACTGATAGAATCTACCGCAACCAGCCAAAATAAACAGATGCTTTGCATATACCTCTGTGAAACAGAGGGCTCGTGACTTTAGGACTATAATAAAATTGTAAATTTATACAATAAATATATAGTTTTATCCTGTCCATGATGGGATCCCTAAATTGTTGCTGAAGAAAGCTACAGTTTGAGATGTGAAAGCGACACTGATATTTTTTGTATTGTGTGCATGTGAAAGTAGTTATCATGGAAATGAAATTCAAAGTTGAATCATTTTAAATTCCCTTTTCCTAATTATCTTCTCCTGTTCGAGTCGTATTCATTGATGATATTCAAAGGAGAAGGCTACTTTAATTTCGTAGGGCCTAAAAAAAGCTATTTATCAGGCAAATTCTTTGCTGTCTATTATCCAATCTGAGGCTAACTAATGTTTGAACTTTTAGTAATGGAGAGGTAAGAGATCCCGTGACTTGCTGCTAATAGTTATATATTTCTCAGCTTCAAATTTCCAAATGACTTTGAGATCATTGAATAACCTCCATCCATAGCCCATCTGATCCAGAACTTGCGACCAAACAACTTAGAAAATACTAGAGATAAATCCCATGAAGCGTGAGAGACGGAGATTGGCAGAATCCCTGTTTAATATTTCATAGGAAACGTTGTTCATTTTAGAGAACTGCATGTATCAACATCAAAGCGTTCTTAATGACGACAAGAACAAGATATGATATAAGCAGCACAACATTTCTGCCTTTACAGAGAATGTTTTTACCTAATCAGTGCAATGCAATTTAACAAACTTGCAAAGACCTATATACATTACAACTTCCTTCATAAACAGCAAGACTCATGTGACTAAATGCAACATCATCTATGCCTGTATCCATGCAAGAGACTCCCTTGTCATTTCCCTTGTGGGGTAGAGTTTCTGATCTGAATTACTTGGATTTCATGCTCATCGATGCGTTCTGACCTAGTGCATTGGTTTTTTCAACACTGTTCAATCCATACTGCAGTGCACAATGCACAAATACCATAAGATGATAGGCAATCCATAAATAATAGAATTCAAATAAATGAGCAAAAAGATTACAATGTCTATTAATACTTCATGAAATCCCCATTAAAAAACAAAGAGTAAACCATATTATTACCATGATAACATAACTTTTAAAGCTTAACAAACATAGAGGTCAACCAGACAAAATCAAGACAAGTAAAGATATCAATCTCAGAGTTGGAAAGGAGAGGGTGGCACAGTGATGCAGGCAACAAGAAGATCTAGGAAATACAAGATTAAAGATTTGAGACATTAAATTACAGTCCAGATTTAGAAGGTGTTTATTTCAGATGTTATCGAGTACCTCTAGAGTTTTATTCACTATTCAGTAAAATATTTTCGTAATTTTCACTGAACTCAGAAGTTGCCAACTTGCAATTGGAAGTTGCAATATTTAGGCATTTCATTAGGAAATAAAATCAATCACATTTTCAGATCTTTCACATGTAAATAGACTATAGCATTAGTCAATATGCTGAAACGAGTGCAAGTTGAGTTCAGAAGAAACGAATTTAGTGGAGTTCAGGCCCAAGTTCAGCCTGCCAGTTTACCTTCAAAAAGCAGAGTTTTTTTTTTTTTTTTTAGTTGATAAAGTTCAGAAGAACGAATTTAGTTGGAGTTCAGGCCCCCAGTTTAGCTGCCAGTTTTACCTTCAAAAGCAGAGTTTTTTTTTTTTTTTGGGGGGGGGGGGGGGGGGGGGGGGGGGGGGGGGGGGGGGGGGGAGGTTTGTTCAGGAGTTGTGTTCACCAGGCTCCTATAGATTTATTTACTATTGCTTATGTTTTTCTGTGCACCTCATAATAAGAAAATCATTCAATTGTATAGGCCACGTATGCCTCAAATGAAAGTACCTTTCCTCTATCCGTGTGCTCCAGATGTCTGAGTGAGCCCCTGAAAAGTTTGACCTGATTGATTAGGAGTGGCTCCCAAGATCTCACCTCTACCATTCCTCATATATCATCCTCACATTCTGAAATCTTTCTCATTTCTAGTAGAAACCATTGCTCGCAAAATCATTGCAAAGCATGTAAAGAATAGCGCCTGGGGGGGGAGGTTTGTTCAGGAGTTGTTCAGCAGTGCTCCTATAGATTTATTTACTATTGCTTATGATTTCTGTGCACCTCATAATAAGAAAATCATTCAATTTATAGGCACGTATGGCCTCAAATGAAAGTACCTTTTCTCTCATCCGTGTGCTCCAGATGTCTGAGTGAGCCCCTGATGTTTGACCTGATTGATTTAGGAGTGGCTCCCAAGATCTACCTCTACCATTCTCATAATCATCCTCACATTCTGAATCTTCTCTTCTAGTAGAAACCATTGCTCGCAAAATCATTGCAAGCAGTAAAGATAGCGCCTGATCAGAGAAAACATTGTTAACGATGGATCTCAGCACCTTTGAAAATTCCTAGAAAATACAAATTAAAAGCAATTTAAACTGGAGAAAAACGGTGAGTGTTTCCTTTATAATTATCAAGGATGATATAGTATATATGTTCCATCTGTGTGTTCTTAAACCATGATATTCTGAAACCCTTTTTTATGATAAGTAGGAAATGTTGTGTGTTAATTACATCCATTAATGCAATCATTGCAAACTTATTTCCCCTCAACAAAACAAAATAATGCCAAAGTCCAACAAATAACATGATCCATCATAATAGCTCCCCAATTAAATTACCATAAAATGAAGTTCAATAAAAGAATAAACTGCCCCTACCTAACAACTAATTTCAGAAGCAGTTAAGAATCCTTTGCTATTTTTTGCGTCGGATTGAATGTTCAAGTCCCAATACTTGAAGCTGAGACCTTGGAAAAATCTGAACTACTAGAACCAAATTCAAAGAACTTCATTTTGCGAGGAAAAAGCTTTTGAGATGAAGTAGACAAACAAGTCCATATATCAAAAGACAATATTATGATTTAATCAAAAGCTCAATGACTACATCAATCACAACATCAATGACATTTACTTTGTTTTGCAGTAGGGAATAAAAGAAACCAGAGAAAATAGGCAGTTGGGAATCCATTTAAACTATTTCTGATTTCGATGTAAACCTCAGGAGGTAAATTTCATACTATCCTAGAGATCTACATCTCTCAGAATTTTAATCAATGCTCTTAACATGAACATGAGAAAGAATATCAATCTTTAGGTCATACAATTACATACCTGAACTGTGAGCACAGTAATGCCAACCCATTTGCATATATCAACATTGTCTTCAATAAAAGACTTAAGGGTTTGAAGTTCTCCAGTTGGATCAAAAGGAATATCCTATTAAAACAAGTGCATGACAGCTTATCATACAAGAGACATGCATAGAGGACAAAAGTTGTAGTGAACTTTCTTCAAGGTGGAAAAAAAAAAATCACCTTTTGCCAACGATGATCAATTGCTATGAAGGCCACTAAAGCTGCTTCTATCAGAATGAATAAGATTTTGAGTATGGTGTACTAATATTTACAAGGTTAAGAAAAATGAATAAGAAAAGAAACCAAATTCTGAATTAAGCACTATGCACTAACAATTCAACTCCCAATAAGAAGGAAATAGATTATGTTTATTTTCATTTTTTTGCCTTCCTGGAAATAGATTATGTTTATGTTACTATCAAGTTGATGATAGAGGAGTTAAATAAAACCCAATAAATACTGGTAGGAGATCCTATTACTTAATATAAATATCCCAATTTTTTAAAAACCCGTCATTTTGATATAAAATTCCCTATTTCTTTAATTACCAACAACAATGAAGAAAAATAGAGAAATAAAATACTTAAAAATCTTCTCTCCTATTTAGCCTACTCCAGCTCTCAGCCAATATGCAATTACAGTTTGTGGCTCAGAATGCAAGAACTTTTTGCTGATTAAGAATATCTATAGTCTCATTCTCATCACCAATTACATAAACTTACATTTATCTTCTCATTTTTCAGTCACTGCCATTCCCCTTAGATGAAATAGAGAACAAGCATCATTTTCTTTATTTTTTGGAGAAAATAACGCTAATTTTGTTTCCAAGATGCGAAAAATGTCAATTAACATCTCTACTCATCCAACAATAGTAACTAGCTACTCAAGAATAACTGCAGTACGATTTGTTAACCGAAATAAGATAAAAAATAAAGGTAGTAGCTCGTATATCCAGGATACAAAGCACAGGCAACAGCCATTAATAGCCTCAGCTGCAATGCAACCAATGAGAGTAATGCAACACAATATAATGCCCACGCCCATAAAAGAGTAGATGAACCTGTTACCCAAAGAAAAGCCTCAAATTAAAACTTGTATGGATCCCTGTATTTCACTCCCAGCCAAATCAAACACAAAGACCGCATATCATAACATATTCAACAAGAAACAAAAAAAAATGCAAAAGGCCATAATTGAATTGCAATAGTTTGTGCTAACTCACCCTTCAATCTTTAATGTTTAAATCTAACAATAATCGCTCATGATTCACTCACTCTCTAACAGTAAACCAAGTGTTCGGTTAAAAGAAAGGCACAATACAGTTTTACCAGCAACCAATCAAAGCATAATTAGAGTAAAATGTTTACAAGCATTAAAAGCTAATAATTCATTACCTAGTCAGCTTGCCAAAAATGTAATAAAGGTCAATTTAAAGTTTTCAAATGTAAATTTTTAAAAAAAAATGAACATTTAAAGCTGATATCAACTCATTTAATTACCTTCTCCTTATAGTTCGATGCAATCTGATTCAATTACTGACTTCAAAACCCTTATCCCAACCAATCAAATTATAAACCATTAAATTAAAAACCCATTAACAACACCCAACTTAAAACCGCCAAAAATATATAAAAAATCAATTACCAAGGTGCAGGAAGCTCGAAGGAATTCAAACGAAGCCCAAGTCCATCATCAAAACCGTAAGCCAAATCAGCGACGAGACTAAGAACCCTAAGCGACTGGGATTGAGAATCTGGAGAGGGAGCAATAGAGTGCGGCGACGGAGGAAAGGGAACATGGTGGTTCCATTGATCCAGCATCCATATAGAGTAAAGTACAACAGAGAGTCCTATAAAAGCTTGGAGAAAGTTGAAGAATTTAAGCACGAATGCTAATGATACATGGCAGCAATTGCGTTGCATTTGTGATTAATTTCAGACCCTAAATTGCAAACCCAATGAAGATTGCAGGTAGATAGAGATATGGCTATCAATGACAGTAAAGATTGGAGCTTTTTTGCAAAATTGTTTGTTGGTTTCTCTTTTGGCTTTTGTTTATTTTTTATTTTTTATTTTTTACAATGCTTTTGTTGCTTATCAGTTATCATCAATGATTTGTATCGGTGCGGAGATAGGAAACTGCCTTTTAAAATATTGGTGCCGCCGTTAGTTTGAAAAAAAAAAAAAATTTAAAAAAAATTTTTTTAGCATATTTTTTATTTTTTTTAATTATCATTGCATTAATTAATACTAATAATAACTTAAAAATAAATAATTTTAAGGAGTTGGCATAGAGTTTGAATTTTTTTTTCCCTTTTATTACAGTTGTATAAAAAATTCTAAAATTAGGACTGTCCTCAGACGAGAAACATTAGTAAATTTAGTTTTTCTTTAGTATCTGAATTTTTTTATTATGGTCTAAGTCAGTCCGAAGTTAAAAGGTAAGAAAGACTATTTAAGAATATTAGAAATCGTAAGGGTAAAGGTGAATTGAGTAAAAGGTAAGAACCTATGAAGTAAAATGTGATGTGAATTTACTTAGATTTAGATCGACCAATGCTAAAATATTAATATTAACCGATTAATTAGTTAATTTAGCACTCTTATATGTCCTTTGCAGATTTGATATTTAGTCAAAGTAGGATCTTAGCGAGGAGAGTTGATGAATACAATGGCTCAAGTTGATTCTTTCTACTGTGATGTTTATATAAAGGAGTGGCATTGACAATATTAATTAAGCTCGGGAATAGTGGGTTACTGTTCACGGATTAAAGCATATTAATTATTATAGTTTTTGTTATTTAATCAATAAAAAAATATTTCTAATGCAGGAAATATGAATAAATTATTTGCATAAAAAATAATGATAAGTAAAATAATTTATATCAAGGAAGAAAATTAAGTTAATAAGATAAATCTTCTAAAAAAATTTATATATTAATTTTTTTTTATATATCTTCTACAAATTTTGTATATTCATTCGTTGATGCCGTGATTTTTTTTTTTTTTCTCTTTTGTTTTAAATTTCGTAATCGATGAAGCGAGCCATACCGTTTAAACCAATGCTAAACCCAAGGCACAGTCCACATTAACAAAAAAACGCAGATGGCAAAATGGCATTGGTCATCTCCTTCAACAGCCATAAACTAGTCTCCACCATGTTGATTGTTCCTCAATTTCAACCACTTGTTTCAATTCTCTGAAACTTTCCCTAAACTTGTAAGCTATGGATGCAACTTTAAAATTTCTGATAGAATCCTGACGTGCAAGACATTACTGTTGCAACCTCAATAAATTGAAAGTAGACTCGCACCAAAACAATCCACAAGTTACTGTTCAATATTAATCATTATTTAATATAATAATTAATATTAAATGAGAAAGACAACCATCAGTGAAATCTGTTACATTGATTAAGCTCAGGAGGCGTGTTGCTTGAGGAGGAGGAGGAGGAGGAGGAGGAGGTTGTTTAATAGAAGTAGGCGGTAGAGGAGGAAGGCATAAAGCACAGAGAATTTGACGTTGGTAGACTCGAAAACAAGCTGGTGACTGGTGAATTACTGACTCCTTAGAATTCCTGAAATTGAACCATTTCGTGCAGAAAGTAATTATCCCTTCTCTTTTCTTCTTAAACCCTAGATTTACTCTCGAGCTGAAAAGGCTGATGCTATTATCTTCATTTTAGGTTCAATTTATAAGCTCAAAAATGGCGAAAGTTCCATCTTTGATATCTCTCGTCATGGAGGCAATTAAAAGAGAACTCCTTCGCGGTAAAATTTTAGATGCTTCGTTATTATGTTGAAATTGAAACGAATTTAATGTCTTCAATTTCCCTTTTTCTTTCAAATATTATAATACTGGGAAAGTTTTTTTTTTTTTCTCAAATTACTGATTTTTGTATTTTGTTAATTGTAGGAGATGATATTTTACCTGACGTATATGAGCTTCCATCCCATTTATTTGATGTATTAGTGACAATGTTACCTCCTTTGGCTTTGCACAAGTTACAAGCTCAAATGTAAGCTAATGACAATGCCTGCTTTTACTGTTTTGGTACATGTGATTGTGTTTAGTGCTATTTTATGGTTGAACTATTGTATGAATGAGTGGTTTTTGAAATTTTGCTGGGTGTTGAAATTTTTTTGTTGTCGTAGCTATTGGTGCTATTTTATTGAAATTCTCTGATTGATATCGGTTATTGAAATTTTGCAATCAATTGCTCTTATTTTCTTGGATGGTTGTCTTTAAATAGGCCATATGAGAATTGGAATGATTATGAGTGTTCTGATGGTTGCTCGAAAATTGGAAGAAAGCGTGGAAGGTATGAAAGAATTGATATTTTTATTTGTTAACGTTATTGAAATGTTGGATTTAGATAAGAAAAGCACAGAAGCAGTGACAGTCTAACTGTAATACTGATTTTTCGCAGAAGTTGTAACTTCGATACAGCGTGGAAGATGTTATTTCAGTCGCGCTGGCCCTGGCTTGTTGACAGTAATGAATCGGTTGACTGGCAGCAGACATATTGGCAAACACATTTGCAAAAGTACATGATAGGATTAATTCCGTGCTACAATCTTCTTCATTACTTCTATTTGAATTTTGTCCTTTTATTATATTAACCCGAAAGACAGTTGCCTTGATGAAGCAGCAGGATTAGCTTCTACACCCTCATTTGATGGATACATTGCAGATTTGGAAATTTCAGGTATTATATGTTGCCATATGACAGAATTATGCATCTTAGAAGCAGTTATGTGACAAATTTAAAACATTGAAAAAGCAACATGAATGGTCACTGCTAAAGTATGCATTGGTTGTTGGGCACTCTCGCACTTGGTTACTTACTGCAGTAGGATTCTGAATAATATAAGAGAATTTCCTATTCTTTTCCGATATACAGTTGGATATTGATAAATTAAGTTTTTGCTTTTAATTCTAATTTCTTCCATCTGCCTGTAGCCTTATCAAATTTGAACAACTTCATGCAGATGATATATTGAAATCTATCGGTTGTGAAGGACATTTGAACCCTTCAACTTATTCAAAATTATCTTACCACTTTCAACAATTTGGGCACTTTGCTAGGTAACATGTTATGTCAAGTTTTGATATTATGAAATTGTAGGTCTAGCTTCGTATGCTTTGGAGAAAAATGAATTGAAAAATACATGTGTTCAACATTTTGGCGGCAAATTTTTTTTTTTCCCTAGTTCTTATTTGGTTTTACACACTAAATTTGTTTTGTTGTCAATGTTTTTTTGCAAGTGAATGTTCATCACACACACTAATTTTACTCTTATTAATTTCATATATTTTTTGTTCTTTGTGCAGATGTTTGAGACTTCAAAATGTTCTGTGTATTTCGGAAACTTGTGTATGTCTTTATCTCCCAAGTAGAATAAAATCACGAAGTAACTTTTTTTGAATGTATTTTCCAGCACATGGATTATGGCTTTTTTGACATCCATGCAAGCTAAAAGTTTTTACGTTTGAATCCCCTTCAAGGGACATGCTACGTATGTAATTTAGGATTTCTTTTTTTGTTAAAAAAAAAAAAATTTCTGTCATCTTGGCAAAATCTGTAGTAGGGGTTTTCGTTACCCATCTTGCCAAAGCTTAGAAGGCCTGCTATTATTGCTATTTTACTATATCTACTCATCTTTGGATCCCATGTTTTTGTGGGTTTCAATGGAGTGACATCAATTGTTTATGCCCTTTGGAGTGTAGTTGCATATAGCAAACAAGGTTCAAAATTTTAATTTAATTCCCTTTTCTTTTCATCAGTTGGCATTCTTGAACCTGTCAAAGGAATTTTTTTTTTTTTTTCTGTCTCTTTCTTTCTCTCTCTCTTTGTCTTTGGGTGCTGTTGCATTTCTAAATTCACTTACATTCATCTCATACTGCTTGTTTCTTTCAGTACATTGCATCCTACAAGAATGATAAGTGGCCTAATATTTGCTACTTCTGTTCTGCTGCAGCAATTATTGAGAAACAGCAAATTGGAAAGTTTGGCATTACGGTGGATCAGAACCAAGGAATATGTATGCTTAGTTCTTCTTCAATTTTCTTTAGGATATTCTGCTTGCTAATAAGGGAGATTACTAAACTGATAATTTCATCTGTAGTTCAGAAACTGCAAACCTCTGAAACAACAAGTGAAAGTTAAAAGTAGAATCTGGAGAAGGAAAACAAGCTAAAACAACTACTGTAGTTGATAGTAGAACGAACATCTACTTATGCACCCAGTCCACAGAATGCTAATTACAATATCAAAAGATAGATTTGTGGTACTAAACAATTTATGCTAAGGAAAATTTGATGCTATTGTTATCATCTACTGTACAACATCTTGAGAAACATAACAGAAAGAAGTAGCATTTTGATATAAAAATGATTGGCTTTGAATTGGGTCATGCCATCAGTACTCTCAATATTTAATTTACATATTGATCAACTTCATAGCAAAGTAATGGTAATCTGCATTTAGGTTAGAACTGTGCCTGAAGGTGTAATGAGATGTGACAATGAGATTCGTGGTGGATAAAGATGTCTCTCTTGAGTGCTACATTACTGACTCATAGATTATTACACAATCAGTTGGTGCACATTAGCAGCATCACGTTTAGAAGCATTTGCAAATTGTCATATCAGTAGTCTAAGGAATGAAAATGGGAAATATTTATTTTCATCATGTGGTTGCGGAACTACCAAGCTAACGTTGCAAATTACTAAATTATTGTTACCAGCTGTCTAAATTCAGCGAAGGACATGATGTACTAGTATATATGTTGACATCCTGGTTGACTGGGATATATCGCAATATGCAGGTGGATGGATTATGCCAATTACTGGTCCAAAACAGTGAAACATTGACATCTCTGGAACTTATTCACTGCAGCCTTTCATCGACTTCTGTAAATGCAATATTTGATTCTCTAGAAATAAAAAATAAAAAGACATGGGTCATGCAGAGCTTCTCAGTCAAGGCAACAAGCTTCCTTGAAACTGATGCGGTTTCGTTACCACTTTCCCTTGTATCATTTCTTTCATTAGGAAGGTTCATCGATTCTCTGAACTTCTTGTGTTTTCTTACCTTTTTACTAGTATGTAAAATAGATAGGTGTAGATTTTGGTGTGTGTTCTGTTTTAAATTTATTTTCTGACGTCTTGAGGTTGTTGAAATTCTCTTCAACTAACAAACTGTAAAAGTAGTAATTCGTTATTAGCTGGTCATTAAAAAGTAAAAATATGATTCAGGTCCTAGGAAGATTGACTTTAAAGTTTTACACTGTGAAATATGAAATATAACCATCGTTATATTTCTGGCTCCATCCGTTGAGTGCTAAAATGGCCAGTCAATGTGTGGTATCTCTTGTATTTTGACACTTTGTGGGAAAGTTTTCTTGAAAATTTTGTCTAATTCCTTTCTTTACTTTTTCTATTTGACCAATACAAATCAAATTGAAACTTTCCAGAAAAAGAGTTAAAATACTTGCCCATTTAGTTCTATCCATTAAGAATCATAGAGCTCTGTTGTATGAATGAATATCGTATCTGAAATATGATTTTCAAGCATCTGATTGCATCTTGCTTAATTAGACATTTAGACCTGTTATTCTCCAATAGCTTCTGCTCTTACTTCAGAACCCTTCTGCTTCCAGGTCCTTGTGTTCATTAAGATTTTGTGGCAACTACCTAGACCGAAAATTTGCACACATGCTTTTTACTGTGCTTGTCAATGCTTCCTCAAGCATATCCCTCCTTGACCTTTCAGACAACAATGTGAGTAATGCTTTTTGTGTTAGATTTATTCGTTTTGAGTTATTTCATTTACCAACTTAAGATTACCAGCAAATGATCTTGTCACCAATATTTCACAGATAGCTGGGTGGCTTTCTAATTTTAACTTGGCATCCTCAAGCAGGCTTCCATCATCTCCAGAAAGAGGCAAATCTTTGCAGTCATTACGTGTGCTCAATTTAAGGTATGACATTATTTGCATGCGGTTCCTTTCTGTTTTGAATAATTTGTTCAATTAACTAGCCCCTACCATATGTATAAAGTGCCCAAGGTTATCTTTTACCACCCTCAAGTGTAGCCCTACATACAGATATATAGTGACCTATGAAGCCATTATTGATAACATTGTAGATACTGTCTTTTGTCTTTGGAGAGTGTTTTAAGCATTGTTAAAATCTTATCGGTTTTCAGGGGAAATAGTCTACACAAGGACGATGTGGAGAGTCTGAGATATGCACTTCTTTGCATGCCTAATTTGGAGATCCTGGATTTAAGTGACAATCCCATTGAAGATGAAGGAATCAGGTTAGTTAATATCCATTTTCCCTATATATTTTCTGTGTAGCAAGACAAAGTTTCAGCATCAGTTGAATTTTGCAGATGTTTGATCCCTTATTTTGTTGAGCCTCTGGAAAGATTCTCTTCATTAGTGGAGCTGAATTTGGAAAACTGTGAGCTTTCCTGTGATGGAGTGACGCAACTTCTAGACACCCTTTCAGCCCTACAAAGACCAATAAAATCTCTCTCACTTGCAGATAATGGCCTTGGCAGGTTTGTTTGCCTAACACTTGCATTGAAGTTGTACTTTGCTGTTTATATTCCTTTCTTGAGATGGATCAGCTTAAAAATTATTGTTCTTCAGCCCAGTAGCTGGCGCTTTGGGAAAGTTTTTGAGCACATCGATTAGAGAACTTGATATTGGGGGCATAGGACTAGGCTCAGCTGGCTTCGAGGAACTACAAAAAGAAATGATGGCAGATTTGAAGCTTGTCAAGATAAACATAAGGTTTGAACTAATTTCTTGATTTTATTTTCCTCAAGCTGGTATTGAAATTGTGTCCAGGCAATTGACAAATTAACTTTATTCATGCAGCAAAAATCGTGGTGGGCTTGAAACTGCCAAATTTTTGTCCAAGCTCATGTCATCTGCTCCTGATATTGTTTCGGTTGATGCATCATATAATCTTATGCCTACAGAATCCTTAATCATAATATGCTCTGCTCTAAAGGCTGCAAAAGGTACTTGCATCCAACAAGAAGTGATTTTTGAATCATATAATTTTGCAAAATGAACACACAAGTGGTCTGAGCCATTTCCACGCTGTTTATTACTAGGTAACCTTGAGTGTTTGGACTTGAATGGGAACACCTGGGACTGGCAGCAAGCTCATGCTTCCATCCTTGCTGAATTCCAACATAATGGAAGGCCTATCTTGATTCTTCCATTATCACGTGCCACAGATGTTCCTTATGATGATGATCCATAGATGACAGAACTTTCAACATATTTTTCGGAAGCAGTTATGCAGCATTACATCTTTAAGTTACCATAGTTGCTCTTCGAACTTTATGTAGAGTTTCATATCCTGGAATCAGACCTGGGAAACTAAAATGACGGAAAACTAGGGGATGGATAGGATGGAAGGTGCTACTGTCAAGTTAGCAGCCTATTGGGCTGTTGGCTAGGTGGTTCTTACTATTATTACATGCTGACTTGATATTAGCCTTCAGTTATTGGTTACTCGGTTTGACTCATGAGCTGTGTTTTCTGCAGGTCATTGCAGTCTGTTAGAAGGATGTTATGACTTATGAGTGTATATGGTTATTTTCCCCTTTTATTCTGAGATCATAGTTCAATATATGGATTTTAAAATTTAAGAATTTCGTCCCTTCTGATTTTCATTGACAGTGACCTTTTTGTCAAACAGAATGGTGATTCAACTTTACTCTCTTGTTGCATTACATAGTGATCTAATTTTGATTTACTTAGATTATATGCCTTGAGGCTTGAGGCCATGGATGTTTCTTTGTATCTCTTCACTTGTCCGGGCTGATTGTACCAGCTCCCAAAGAAAATGCAAGTACTGTTCCAAGCATTCATTTCTTCTGCTAAATTGTAATACATGAGGTGCAAACTTGGAGCAGTTGAAGTGCATCGGACAGGCTTTTGCTGCTCATTTGCCTTTTGTTGTGGTACATCATTCTGACAAGTTTATTTTGATGTTGCATCTCGTTGCGAAATCAGATTATAACTAATTGGCATCTTATGAAAAGGTTGATTCGTTTGCCAATAATAGATGTATGGTCAGGTTTCACTTTCAAAGTTAACTACAAAATCTAGATTCATTATCCTAAACTCTGTACCGTGTAGTGAGTTGCCAAAGAAAATGATGGCCCTTGCTCATGAAACTGAATGTCCGAGACACAGTAGGTTTCTTGTTCCATCTTACCTTATCAATCATGAAAAATAACTTGATTTGTACTTTGCTTAGTGTGTTCTATTTATTTTTATCTTTTGTAATTCATTCTTGTTGCAGGGTAAAATATATGAAATTTAAACAGCAGACGAGACTATTGTACCTGAAGAATGTTTTCCTCTTCCTCATCATGGAAACAAAAGATGATAAAGACATCCCACCTTTGAGGGGATGCAAGGAGAAACAACGGATTTTGCATATTGCCAATGTTGGCGTGTGCCTGAAGAATGTTGCTTAAACCAACCCTAACCTCTCTCATGATTGTGGTGCTTTCTAGTTTTCTGTTTGTTCATGTTTGAATCTTAAGTAATCTAGACCAGCTAATCACTCGTACATGGCCTCTTTTTACTATATACTTTCTGCTAATATATGGGAAATGTCTCGCGCCTTTTTTGAAAAAGAAAATTACTTTGCAGGTGAAGCTTTTTCTTGGTAATTTAAATTCCTAACTTTGCCTGTGACTTCCTTTTTTTTTTTTTTTTTTTTTCTTTAAATCTAACTTTGCCTGTGGACTTCCTTTTTTTTTTTTTTTTTTTTTTTAAATCAGACTCCAATTGAAGTTTGAATACACAAATCAAGGACTATGAGGGGTTTTTGTTTTTTTTTTTTTTTTTTTTTTTAAATCAGACTCCAATTGAAGTTTGAATACACAAGATCAAGACTATGAGGGGTTGAAAATGAATTTTGCAAATTGATTTAGCACTTCATCCTCTAACATTGGTTCAAAATGAATTTCATTCCACTTTTCCAATGCTCCAACCTGTAAAGGTTCCAAGTGCTTATTAATAAACAACTCCACTTAATTAAATTAAGGATAAAAAGAATAATACAATCACTCATCATTTCATGATTAAACAAAAGCTAACTTGAACTACTTTTTCTTCTTTTTTTAATATATTTATTTATCTTTTTCTTTTAGAAAATCTTTTTTTTTCATTTTTATTCTTTGCCTTGTGTTATGTCCAAAAAAGGTAGTTGTCTTGGCTTTGTCATGAAGTAAGCCTTTTGTTATTGTGTTTGCATTGTGCTTGTTGTATCAATCATCCTCTTTTGAAGCTTATCTGCTTCTAATCACTTTTTTATTTAACTAACATTGTATGATTAGTAAAGTGACCCGTGAACCAACATTTTTCTTGTTAATTTCAGCTATAACCTCCTACCAATATTATAATTTGAGGAAGGAAATTTATTAAGTGAAATTAAATATACAGTTCATTTGAAATTATGAAAAATATGTTTTACATTCACGTGAAAAGAGTATATATAGATTTGATCGTGGAGCGAGTTTGAACCGAATTTTGTTCTTACCTACCAATAAAAATTATTATCCATCATACTCTCACCATATTTAATCAAGTTAGATTTGTGTTGAATTGAGTCAAATTAATATATATAAGATCCGTAAATAACTAATAAAAGCGAGTAATTTCATTTAAGAAGGAGAGCATTGAACCACTCAACTCAACACTTATTGCTTAGGTCAATAAAATAATTATAATATATATGAAATGAATAAGAAATGTGGTCCTTAAAAATAAAAAATATGCTTCCATTTGGGGCCAAGATATATATACATATATATAACCACTGGCCATGCGAAGGGAGCTAACAAGCCAGAGTTGGATGAGTTTGGTATGTAGTCATTGGTCAAGCAGCTTCATGCATGATGGACATGCAAATACAGTTAACTGCGAAGTGTTAGGTGTAAAGCTAATTACTAGAGTCTCTTTTTCCAGTTAACTGCATATGCAAAGTGTTAGGTGTAAAGCTAATCAGTAGAATCTCTTTTTTCCAGAGGAATAGTATTTGCATACTATAAAAAAGCTTGTGATCAGCATTTTTCTTTTTCATTTTTGAATCTATACTCACGCGTTTGGATGCTCCGATCGAAGGTTTTATTCGGATAAAAAAAGAGAGTGTGTTTATTATTAATTTCGCTAGTTCTTGTTTTGAAGACTTCATAACTTTAAAAACAAATTTAATGTCACTGAATTAAAGAATGTACATTGTTAAACTCTCTGGCAATTTTATAAATAGAAGACCACAGTGAAACTCATATAAATCAAACGTTAAAAAATAATTTGCATCATACCGGTGCTTTAGTCAAGTAGTCAAGTGGGTTTGTTTAAAGAAAGATTGACGGATGGATGGCAAGTATTATTGGTATCACAATTCTAATAATACATTAAGGATGAAACTGCAATGAAATTAATGATTGTTTGTGGGAATTCCATTTGGAGATAAAATGAGGTATGGAAAAGGGGAGTTGCTGAAAGTTTGTAGGAGGGTTGATGAAAGAGCTTCTGCTTGACATGACTGAGAGATGCTGATACAGTGATGTGGAACTACAGAAAATGGACATGTGTAGAGGCAGCAAGGGAAGTGATTAACATATATGGACCCCACAGATGTTGGTAAAAAAGTTAGGTGGATAAAAAAACAAAATTTACCGGGAGAAAAGGGAAAATAAAGTTGTCATTCCCAGCAGTGGTGGATAAGGGCAAAAATTTATGGAGTTAATATATAATAAAAAGAGTTTATTTGAAATTTTATTAAGATTAATTGAAAAATATACATGTGTATTAAAGAAAATAAAAAGAAAAAGATCAATTCATTCCTTTTTATAATGTAGATCAGCTATTGTTCCCATCAACAAATTGGAAATGGACCCAAAACACCTAAAATTTGGATTCCATAAAGGAGGAAGATGAGCTGATGGAAAAGAATTAAGTGGAGAAAGAAGAAAAAATTGAATTTTGAATGAATGCAAGGAGTATGAGCCCCAAGAAGATGAACATTCCTCTGCAAAGACAGACATTTCCTAACCTGATTGAAATATCCAACTACTACATCCAGTATGTTTTAATATCAAATGATGATATCTTGTTCTTTAATTGTCAAGTATTAATCTATAGTCTTTCGCCCAATTCTTTATTAGCTTTTGATGGGGACTTTTATTTATTTTTTATACCACATGTGCCCTTCACTTGTTGTGCTAAAGTTTAGTTTTACTCGCGACACGTCATGCTCTGAAGGGAAAGCGCTTTCAACGGTAATTTTTTCTATTGATAAGTGTCGAACACTTTATCTTTCATTGAAGTTTTTTCCACAGAGCAATAAGTCTTAACTAATTCTATCTATAATTTTTTTTTTCCACCCGTATGATTCATATATAATCCACATTTTAAGAAACCATTCTGATCAGAATATACATAATCCACATTTTAAGAAACCATTCTCATCAGAAAATTAAGCAAAAAACGTATAAAAGGATACCTTTTTTGACTTCAGGATTTGTGAAATATTTTTGAATAAAAAGAGTACGTGTTTCATTCTCTTAATAATCAAGGATTTAGTATTTTAACACTATTTAGGGGTTATTTTGTATCCTCCTTACGATTATAAATGGGGTGAGGCAACTTTGGAAAAGACCAAAAATTGAACTGAACCTAATTATTTTTTATGTTTTATTTAGTTATTTGGTTATTGATTTCGGTTTCAGTTTGAATCTTTCATAATTTTGGTTTTCGGCCTTTGGATTAATTATTTCAAAATATTTATTTTTCAAGTAAAATCGAACTGTTTGACCGAACCAATATCTACAAATTTTATTGATTAGTTTGATTCGATTTCTAAATTCATTTCGGTTTGATCGATTTCAAAGAAAATATATTTTTGAATTTTACGTTTCGGTTCGGAACCCCACCACCTGTTTGTACACCCCTAATTATAAATGCACCATTAATTCAATACCGCATAAACATGCATGAATCGATAGTTTTAAGTTGTGAGACTTTTGATTATTCATAAAATAAATTATAAACCTTTTTGGTAAAAAAAAAAAAAATTCATAGATTTAAAATAAAAAAAATATGAAAGTACAATGTATATTTTTATATTTTTTACAAAAAAAAAATTAAATGAATCATTTTTAGTCTAAAATGAATCATTTAAGAGTGTGGGATGTACCAACATGAAATAGCTTTCTCATGAATCTATTAAATTAGTGAAAATTCTTATAGTGGAAAGTAATCAAACTCGAAATCAATTAAACCACACATAATTAACAGTTATATATAATATATTTTATGATAATAAGAGATTTGTTATTTTAATATGAAAAAATGTGTGAGAATTGACTATTTATATAATTATTTTATTGTAAAATTTTTGTGGGTTTAATAAAATAATTGTATGATATATAACACACAAAAAATAAAGCTTTGTTATATGAACAATAATACTTAATCATTAATTAAAAATTTCTAATGGTGTTATAATTTTATATATTCAGTACTTATTAGATTGTCCTAATAATTAGATATTAATTTTTTGCTTTTAAAATTATTACAGATCTAAATCCGTGATTAAATGATGGTCCACCAAATATCCACCACATACAACAACAACCCGCCTGAATCCAACAACCAAACCGGGCCAAACCACCCACCCACGATCCAACCCAACCAACAACCATGTAAAGTCTTACTGTTTTAACTTTTATCAGACTATTACTCGCTCACTCACTCTCACGCTCACTTTTTATTTTATTTTATTTTATTTTTACTTCCACAGAACAGTTCTAAAATGACGCAAGTCGCACAGTGGCACACTTCTGTAAATTAAAGCAAAATCCGGTGGCAAAAGCTTCAACCTTCCCCAACCACAACAACATACAGAGAGTCTAATATCATCTTCTCCGTCAATCTATAGTCACCTTTACTCTCTCTCTCTGTTTCTTTCTCTGTAAACCACCGGTTACTCCTCTAAATTCAGATTTAGCTGCACTTCACCGCTAATTCTCACATTTTACTTCACTTGTACTTGAATTTGCATTATCTCTTAATAATCCTGATTAATCAACTCACATTTGCTATAATTGTAGCCAATAGGCCTCAGATCTGAGCACCGCCGCACCAGATCCTAGCCGAAAAAGCTGCTCTATAATCACTCTCAATGGAGGAGGCACTGGAACTGGCGCGTGCAAAAGACACGAAAGAAAGGATGGCCGGAGTAGAAAGGCTGCATCAACTTCTAGAAGCTTCTAGGAAGAGTTTGAGTTCCACGGAAACGACATCGCTTGTTGATTGCTGCTTGGATCTTTTGAAAGATAACAATTTCAAGGTCTCTCAAGGTGCTTTACAGGCTTTAGCTTCTGCTGCTGTGTTGTCCGGTGAGCATTTGAAGTTGCATTTCAATGCTCTAGTTCCCGCCGTTGTTGAGCGGTTAGGTGATGCTAAACAGCCTGTTCGGGACGCTGCCAGACGCCTCTTGCTCACTCTTATGGAGGTACTTATCTATTTACCTTAGTCTGAATTTTATTAATTGTTAATTATTTTACATTTTTTTTGGCTATATTGTTTTATTGTTGGTGGTGTAAAACATGAAATGTTGTTGAGTAATTAGTTGCAATTGCATCTTTGTTAGCTCACACTGTCATTATTGCAATACCTAATTAAAGAGAGGGTGAAAGGACTGAGCATGTCTCATTGGAGGAGGTTTTGATTAATAATTGCTGCCGAATTGAGCTGTTACTTATTACTCTCTTAGACTAGTTTCAGTTCAATTACTCCACTCGCGCCATAATGGCATTTTGATAATCTAAAATCATTATGTTCTATTTCACCTGGTTATTCTAAATTTAAGTTGCAGTTCACTGGTGATTCCAAATCCACGAGTTAGTGTTTCTACTACTGAAATGTAATTTTTTATGTTTTCAGGATCTGAAAATGTCACTCATGCATGTATTTTGCAAAGTGTCACTTAGCTGCAGTTAAGGCTGTTATCAAGCTGAGCAAAATTGATTATGATAGTGCTTTTGAGTTTGTTTTTGTTCAAAGCTTATTTGAGCTTGAGTGAGCATATCACTGACTTCGTTCAACTAGCTAAAGGAGTAATAGGAAACCTAGTTCTTTCTTTACTTTAGTACATCCCTCAACTTTCTATTGTATTGTACTACATGCTCCGTCTTCTTGAAGGCTTAGAGCCTAATTAACCAGAAAAAGAAAAAGGATTGATGTAATATAATTTTTTCTAAAAGAATAATTTTGTATCCCAGTAATGCATCTTAGAGGTGATTTAATGTGCTAAAAATTAGTTTACTATCACAGTTCATGTTTTATTTTATTTTACTGTATTAAGCACGAAACCATGGTGATGAATGTGAAATGGGAAGACATTTTTTCGAACTATTATTTGTTTAAGTTGGCATGACTTTTGAATGCAGAATTTTATATATTACAGAACATGAAACCTAGGCTGTTGCCGCTACGTATCTGCTGTCGGTTCATTTATTTATTTAGGTGCTAGTGATTATCTAGTTTGTGTATTTCCTTTGCATTCACCCTCAAGGTTGCTGTAAATGTCCTTTTGAAAATGAATGATATCATACTTGTGTGCAGCCAAATTCATGTTTGTGTATATTCATGTTTTCATATGTTTTGTTGTTTAATTAAATTGCAAAGTCAAATCTTGATGAGTTGTACAAAAGTCTAAGTACCCTTACAAAGTGTTTTGACGAGGTGGCTTGTCGGAATTAAAATTTATATATTTGCAGGCAATTTTTCTTAAAATAAAACAATGATTATCAGCTTTTGATATATTGACTATGCCACTGAGATTTGGAAAATCAACTGTAAAAGAACTTAGTTAATATATTTTCATTATTTAGGTTTCTTCACCAACAATTATTGTTGAGAGAGCAGGCTCTTATGCCTGGATGCACCGAAGCTGGAGAGTTCGAGAAGAATTTGCTAGGACTGTGACATCAGCAATTGGTCTGTTTGCATCTACTGAGCTTCCCCTCCAGCGGGCTATTCTTCCTCCTGTATGAGCAACATAATTTCTGATGCATATCCTTCCTTTTTTCTGATTGATTCATAGAGCGAGACCGGTTATTTTTTGAAAGTTTCTTTTATTTTCAGATTTTGCAAATGCTGAATGACCCAAATCCTGGTGTTAGAGAAGCTGCTATATCGTGCATTGAGGTCAGTGACACTTGTAGCATGGTTGTTACTGGATTATCTTAGCTACATTCATCATTGCTGCTGTTAATTTGGGAGATGAACCTGTGGTCAGACTAATCCAACTATTTATCTTTCAGGAGATGTATACGCAGGCTGGTCCTCAATTCCGTGATGAGCTTCAGCGTCATCATCTTCCTATGTCCATGGTGAATATCTTATTAACTTATTAAATACTGCCCTTCTTCCAATTTGTAGTTATTTTTCCATTTCCATATCGTTGGGTGTGCTAAGGTAGACTGGTGTGATCTTGGTGTTTGGCTCTGCCATAGTTTTAGATGAACGCATTGTTGCATAAAAGTCTCTCTCAAAATCAGTTAATTTTTAACCATTGCTTTGCATGTAGAATGGTGTCATCACTTTATTTTTTAATTTTGTAGTACAATGTTTGAGTTGCAGATGAAAGATATTAATGCCAGGCTAGAGAAGATTGAACCACAAATACGCCCCTCAGATGGATCTACGGGTAATTTTGCTATTGTAGAGATGAAGCCAGTGAGCCTTAACCCAAAGAAAAGTAGTCCAAAGGCCAAGAGTTCCACAAGGGAGATGTCTCTTTTTGGAGGTTAGCTCCTGATGCAGAATCCATTTGTATCAGCTTCCCTTATCAAGAATTTATAGACATTAGTGTCTGCATTTATATATTTCTTATATATAATAATCCTTCAGGATCTTTTATTATTATTTTCTTCATTCTTCTGTGCCTCCTCTGCTTCGAATCCTCAAAAAATTTAGTATTTTCATAGCCTCAGTGTTTGATTGGTAACTTCGGTATGTGGACCTAAATTAATGGTCATACTCGTTAGCTTTTAAAATATGGAAAATTGTACTTAAGCTTAAAATAAAACAATTCTACATTTTGTGGCATTTGTTCTTCTAGAACTAGTGGCATGAAATTATCTTTGAGCGATCTTTCACTCTTGTGCAGAAATGTAAGAAACTTTGATAGTTTGTATCATCGGTGTTGATTTCATTTGCTGTTCCATTTATGCAGGAGAAAGTGACGTCACTGAGAAACCCATAGAGCCAATTAAGGTTTACTCAGAAAAAGAGTTAATTAGGGAAATTGAGAAGATTGCGTCTACCCTTGTTCCAGAAAAGGATTGGTCTATCCGGATAGCTGCCATGCAGAGAGTTGAAGGCCTTGTTTTAGGAGGTCTTTATTTTCTTTCTCCTTCTCTGTCTCTCCCTATGTCTCTTTTCTCTCCCACTGTCAAACTATCTATAGAACTAAAGATTGTTATTCTTGTGCATGGCTAATTTCTGTTTATTCATTATGGTTGGCAAAATGTTGATGAAAAATTTCTGACAAAAATTAACTGGTAAAATGTGACAAAATAGCTGCCAGATGTCCAGAATATGTAATATTTGAGGAGGTGTTATCTGGTAGTGTGTTTGTACTTATTGTCCTTCTGTTAACGTTACCCCCTATCATGTAATTAAGTTGGAAATAAAACATACAATGATGTTATTTGAAGCCCATTCGCTCAAAAAGAAAAAAAAAATGCAAGTATCTTCATGCAGTTTTTAGCTTCTCTTCATTATTTTATGTTAGAAATGATTGAAACCTCCTATAACTTTGATCCTTATTTTAATTATGCTTGCAAGAAGCTACAAATTAGCTCATCAGATTGCATTCAGGTTTTCCTTTTTTTTTTTTTTTTTTTTTTTTTTGTTTGACTTATTGTCCTTCTGATCTTACACGTTACCCTCAGCCCTATCATGTAATTAAGTTGGATAATAAAACATACAATGATGTTATTTTTGAAAGCCCATTCGCTTCAAAAAGAAAAAAAAAATGCCACGTATCTTCATGCAGTTTTTTAGCTTCTCTTCATTATTTTATGTTTAGAAATGATTGAAAACCTCCTATAACTTTGATCCTTATTTTAATTATGCTTTGCAAGAAGCTTAACAAATAGCTCAGTCAGATTGCATTCAGGTTGTTCCTTTTTATTTTTTTTTTTTTTTTTTTTTTTTTTTTTTTTTTCGAGTTTCTTTAACAACTAACAATTTTCTTCACTTTAACTGGTCATAGGATAACCTTCAAGTTGTTTTTTTGAATGTTTTTGGGGTTGTGCTTGAGAAGGGGTGGACATTCCGATATTTGGGGTAAAATTCATCATGTGTGCATAGGTGTGTACTGTCTTTAATGTAGAAGTTTTGGTAACATCATCCTTGTGGCAGCACATGTCCATATGCATCGAGAAGCTCTTGTTTTATCAATGGTTGTTCTTTTCTATGATCCATAACTGAGGCTGATTTGTCGTAGTGTACACTGCCTCTTCTGGTTTTCTGTTCCTGTCTTACATTTTGTTCTTAAACCTGCTTTGCATGTAAGAAGAGCCTAGCATGGTGCTCTCAAGTGGAGGGATTGCTAAACTATTTTTCTCAAGAAAGGATTGTTAATGTTCTTTTTGTATCAGGTGCTGCTGATTACCCATGTTTTCGAGGGCTTTTGAAGCAACTTATTAGCCCTCTAAGCACACAGTTATCAGATCGAAGATCTAGCATAGTGAAGCAGGTAATGTGATTCTCTTTGTTAGTAAATAATGGTTTATATATTTGTTATTTTGAGGTGATCAGCCCATATTTGCTATAGTTTGTTTGTGAGTTTCAGTTTTTAAGCTGTGGAATTCTGCACCTAATCCTCAAGTCTGTAGTTTGACTGGTGCTGCTTGATATTACTTAAGTTCTTGTTTGGATTGATAGAATGTGAAATACATGGATTAATGTAAAATCCATGGAGTTCTACATTTCATTGTTTGGTTGAAAACAAAATCCATAGATCTGAATGGTACTTTTGGAATAAAATTAAGTGGTTTAAATTTGATCATTTATGAAAATGATAGGAATAGAAAAATCCAACCTATGAGGTGGGATTTTTTCTCTTCCAAAATGATGGAATTGAGATCATGATAGAACTTATTAATTCTATAGGTTTTGGCTCATGTTTTTTCAACCAATCAAAGAAATCTGATAAGTCCATAGAATGTTTAAATTTCATAACTCAAATTCTGTCAATTCAAAGACCTCTAAATGCTTGTTAAAATGGTGTTTGTTTTATGAATACTCAACCTTGTCATGGGTTTCTCAACTTTTTTTTTTTTTCTTTCTTTCTTTATTATTTTAAGAAAGAATATCCACTGATAATTTTTTATGATGGCATTGTGACTTTTTGCCAATGAATATGGACCTTTCTTATGGTGAATTATCTGACCTAATCCACATTATTCCATAATATTGGTGCATAGGAATTTAGGAGCTTCTTCTAGGCTCGATTCATGATCTTATCAAACTGTTTATTGTTGGTTTGGATTTCTCAAATGTCGAGAATTTATGTTTTTGCCTTGTTTGATTCAACCTGTATTTATTCCTGATATGGTCTAGGTTCAATGCCTTTGAATAAATTTTGTTGGTCAAGAAAAATGGGATTTAGTGTTTGTGCTTTGACTTGAATGTTGAGACTGCTTAGCACTACACCTTTTAGGTTTGAGAATAAAAAAGCAGGTATCAACATGCTCTAAATGAACTGAGGACATTCCAGCAAGATCACTTTCATGCTCAACTTCTCTTGAAGTAAAAAAGGATTCTTTTCATGATTCTTCTACCTAAATGGAAAATGCATTCTTCTTGATCTCTCAGTTGCTGGTGCTCTCTTGTTTATAAATATTCCTACCAATCACTAGTTTCGAAATTGTTACTATGATGAGTCAACTTAAGCTAGCAATGGTTGTGTGATGCTTCTTATGAAACCAACAGTTTTATTTTTCGTCTGTTGGGATTGCACAAGCTATGAAAGAGAACTAGAAAAGACATTCTTAAAATTCTTATGAAGGGGTAACTTAAAGGTTTTGGCTCCTGAAAACTTGGTAGAATTAGTATTTATGAACTCAACGGCAGTTGTTCTATTTTCTCAGTTCCTTTAGAAAATTGGGTCAATTCTGGCTGTTGCTAAATTAATTTTCATTTTCCAAGGCTTGCCATCTATTATGCTTTTTATCAAAGGAGCTCTTGGGAGATTTCGAGGCATGTGCTGAGATGTTTATTCCTGTAAGTTTATCATTCTTCTCACAAAGAGATAGAAGCACAAAGACATGGTTATTTCATATTTAAAATGCTAAAATATTTGTGTTATATTATGCTATGATAATCAGGTCCTTTTCAAGCTGGTTGTGATCACTGTACTTGTAATTGCAGAATCTGCGGATAACTGCATAAAAACGGTAATGATCCCTCACTCAGTTGATACAATTGCCTTTAAGATGTGGTTCACTGATAGCACCCTTTTCTGCTTTCAGACGATACGTAACTGCAAAGTTTCCCGTGTGCTTCCTCGCATAGCTGATTGTGCAAAGAATGACCGTAGTGCAATCCTTCGTGCAAGGTATGACCGACTTCTCTCGCAGAAGTATTGGTTAAGAAGTTAAATTCTAATTCAGTGATTTCTCCATGTTTCTTCCACCTTTTGTATTGTAGATGTTGTGAATATGCACTATTGATACTAGAACATTGGCCTGATGCACCAGAAATACAGCGTTCTGCTGATCTTTATGAAGATCTGATAAGATGTTGTGTTGCAGATGCAATGAGTGAGGTATTTATGTTTAGAATTCTGCAACTCTTTAATATTTGTGGATAGATTCAAGTTTTTCAATGTTGATGGTTTCAATGCAATTGATGTTACACTTCCAATTCCAGAATTATATCCGCAATAATGTAGTTTTTTTTAAGTGCTTATTGCTAAGTTATTAATGAAACATCAATAAGTGCAATTCATATATAAGTTTAGCTTCAGGAGGTGCCTAATAATGTGATTATAGTCCCAAAATATTGGGTAGCAACAATTGCCATCATGTATAGGTTTTCTTGTGCATATAGAAGGTCAAATATAAAATTGTGAGGGCATAGTGCAAGTTACTTATAATTAAACTAAAAACATATTTGATTACATTTTATTCAATTATGGTGTATTATGCATAGCTGGTGCATCAGCTTAAACCTCTATTTTGTATTTTCTTTTCCCATGTTATTTATGATCATAACAACTGTTATGGTCCAAGATGTGGAAAATGTGCTAAATGTATGTAATTTGTCAGGTACGGTCAACTGCGAGAATGTGCTATAGGATGTTTGCAAAAACTTGGCCAGAGCGTTCCCGTCGCTTATTTTCATCTTTTGATCCTGTTATTCAACGGGTATTCCTTTTCTTTTAGCTGGTGGATGTATCTAATCACTTGATTTCAGGGATAATTTTTATTTACAAAGATCATTTATTTTTGCTACAGATTATTAATGAGGAGGATGGGGGATTGCATAGGCGACATGCATCTCCTTCTATCCGAGATAGGAGTGCACAATTGTCATTTACCTCTCAAGCATCTGCTACTCCAAATTTACCTGGGTATGGAACTTCCGCAATTGTAGCAATGGATAGAACTTCAAGCTTATCGTCTGGGATATCTCTCTCTTCTGGTCTGCTGTCCCAAGCAAAAACCCTTGGTAAAGGTACTGAACGTAGTCTGGAGAGTGTACTGCATGCAAGTAAACAGAAGGTCACCGCAATTGAAAGCATGCTTAGAGGTTTGGAAATATCTGACAAACAGAATCCTTCAACTCTTCGGTCATCTAGTTTGGATCTAGGTATTGAATGGCTTTGCCTAACAAATTTTCTCCTTTCATCACAGATATCCATTTTCTTTAATAGTGCAGTTACATGTCTGTCAAGATGAAGAGTTAAATGTTGAATTATTTTGTGAGCGGCTAAATTTCTCTCTTATTGTCCCTAGCGCAGGAGTTGACCCTCCATCATCTCGTGATCCACCGTTCCCTGCTACTGTTCCAGCTTCTAACCATCTGACAAGCTCTTTAACTTTAGATTCAACTATTACTAGCATCAATAAAGGCGGTAACCGTAATGGTGGCTTGGTTTTGTCTGATATTATCACCCAAATTCAAGCTTCCAAAGATTCTGCTAAATTATTGTATCAAAGTGGGGCAGCTGATTCTCTGCCAGCATTTTCATCAATCTCAGCTAAGAGAGCTTCTGAAAGACTCCAAGAAAGAGGTTCAATTGAAGACCACAATGACATTAGGGAGGCCAGGCGATACGCAAATCAACAGATTGATAGGCAGTATATGGATATGTCCCATAAAGATGTAAACTACAGAGATTCTCAGAATGCTCACATTCCCAACTTCCAGAGGCCACTTCTGAGAAAGCATGTAGCTGGACGGATGTCTGCTGGGAGGAGGAGGAGTTTTGATGATAGCCAACTTTCACTTGGGGAGATGTCAAATTACGTTGAAGGTCCTGCATCTCTTACTGATGCACTAAGTGAGGGACTCAGTCCAAGTTCTGACTGGAATGCTAGGGTTGCTGCTTTTAATTACCTCCGGTCTTTGCTGCAGCAAGGCCCCAAAGGTATTCAAGAAGTGATCCAAAATTTTGAGAAGGTGATGAAGTTGTTTTTTCAGCACTTGGATGATCCCCATCATAAAGTTGCGCAAGCAGCTCTTTCAACTCTTGCGGATATTATTCCCTCTTGCCGAAAGCCCTTTGAAAGTTACATGGAGAGGATCTTACCCCATGTTTTTTCTCGATTAATTGACCCCAAGGAACTAGTTAGGCAACCTTGCTCAACAACTCTGGATATTGTCAGCAAAACTTACAGTGTCGATACTCTCTTACCTGCATTGCTCCGATCTTTAGATGAACAACGATCGCCAAAGGCTAAATTGGCTGTTATTGAATTTGCTATCAGTTCTTTTAACAAACATGCTATGAACTCTGAAGGTTATGGCAATACAGGTATTCTAAAACTGTGGCTGGCTAAGTTGACTCCATTAGCCTATGATAAAAATACTAAGCTCAAGGAGGCTGCTATTACATGCATTATATCAGTTTACTCCTACTACGATCCAACAGCTGTTCTTAATTTCATTCTAAGCTTGTCTGTTGAAGAACAGAATTCCTTGAGGCGAGCCCTTAAACAGAAAACTCCTCGTATCGAAGTGGACCTGATGAACTTTTTGCAGAGCAAGAAAGAGCGACAACGCTCCAAATCCTCCTATGACCCATCTGATGTTGTTGGAACATCTTCAGAGGAAGGATATATTAGTGTGTCAAAGAAGAGTAATTTCTTTGGAAGGTATTCCGCTGGTTCCATCGACAGCGATGGAGGAAGGAAGTGGAGTTCTACCCAGGAATCGACCCTGATCACTGGAAGCATCGGTCAAGCAGCTTCTGATGAAACTCAGAACTTTTATCAGAGTATTGAGAATACTTCTAATGTTGATATTGATGTTCATAACTCAAAACCTAGGGATTCAACCTACATGGTAAATTCCATCACACAGAACGTAGGATCCCGGGCTGGCCATCTTGAAAATGCTGACAACAGCTTAAATTTGGATGGTTTCTCTACTCAACATCTGGACATTAATGGGCTGATTAATTCTGAAGCCCTGGCAGATGATGAAGGCTATGGACATGAAAATGATGCTTCGGTTGACTTGAACCTTGATCATCATAAGCCTGCAGCTGTAAAGATTAACTCGTTGCCTGATTCAGGTCCTAGCATTCCCCAAATTCTTCACCTGGTGAGATCTGTACTTCAGTGCTTCATTCCTTAGTAACTAATTTCCCATCAAAGTAGTTTGAAAAAATGTTTATGTTTTTTAAATTATTATGTTCCTGTATTAAGAAATGGGTCTTCTGCACGTTTTGAAGATTTACTACCTTTTTGTAGATTTGTAATGGTAATGATGAAAGTTCAATTGCAAGTAAGCGTGGTGCACTTCAGCAGTTAATTGAAGCATCTATGGCTAATGATCACTCTGTTTGGTCCAAAGTATGCTTATTTCACCTCTTTCTCTCTATCTCTCTCTCTCCCACTATATATCTGGCAATATATAGAGAGTTATATCACACACTTTTCTTAACCTTGCCACTTTATTTAAAGGTTCTATTTCGGTTATAGTTAGGCAACTGTATCTTGGAATTTGCTTCCTTTGTTTTGATCTCTTTATAGTGCACTACTGTGTGAATCATATTGTTTATATATAAAAAGTATTTTCACATCATTTAGCGGTAGTACTGATACTAGAGAACTTGTACAGTTTATGAGCTTAATTAAGCCAGTTCTGTGAATTAAAACTGTGTCAAGACACTGTCTACTGTTCATCGTATTTTTTATCATTCAAGTCATTATCAGCATATTGATGTTTTATGATAGGCATGACTTTGTACTATTAGACTGAAGGGCTATTATTATAATTACTAGGATTTCACAGTTTTGTCTCTTGAAAGAAGAGGCTACAGCAACATTATGAATACTGGAAATGCTAATTGCCAAGAGTTTTAAGTTCTATGGTGGCCGGTTCTTTTTCTTTCTTTACACCCAGAAATATGGGTTTGTAAATAAACCTGCTAAATCAACACCTCACCATGCTGCCATCTGGATTAAACCACTTTTGTTCCAAAGATTCAATCAGTGTGTGATATATGATAGTTACAGTCTCTTTTTCTTTTTGGAGAATGTCTTCCATTTGGGCATTGAATAAACTGTTCTTTCTCACTGGATTATAGTTATGATGTGAGTATTTCACTTACATCTAGCTTCATGCTAATGGCAAATCTATCATTTGCAGTACTTCAATCAAATTTTGACAGCTGTACTTGAGGTGTTGGATGATACAGAGTCGTCAACCCGTGAACTCGCTCTCTTATTGGTTGTTGAAATGCTCAAAAACCAGGTCTGGTTTATTATTCTGTTGTATTTTTTTTTTTTTTTAGTTCTTTTTCATTGTGTTGTCATTGCTAAAATCCTCTCTCTTGGTTTCCATGTTTACAGAAAGATGCCATGGAAGATTCCATTGAGATTGTGATTGAGAAGCTGCTTCATGTTACAAAGGATGTTGTTCCAAAAGTAAATTTTATTTTTAACTAACTCTCTAATAGCTCTTACGTTTGCTTGGCTTTCTTGTCTCAAACTTTTCTGTACCATATTCAGGTTTCTAATGAAGCTGAGCACTGCTTGAGCATTGTGTTGTCTCAGTATGATCCGTTCAGATGTTTAAGTGTATGTGACTCTGAAACTCTCTGGTAACATTGCTAGTGTGATCAGCAGATATACATGGAACATTTCAAAGAAATCCTGGCTTCTTTTCTTATTTTAAGTGCTTGAAACTCTGAACATCTATAGTTAACAAATGCCACCAATAACTGATATTGCAGGTCGTGGTTCCTTTATTGGTTACTGAAGATGAGAAAACTCTTGTTACGTGCATAAATTGTTTGACAAAGGTATTTTCCTCGTATCATCTAACTGAAGTTGAAATTACCTTTCTTCAACATTGTATACCCTTTTATGGCTGATGCTTTTTATGCCAGTTGTTTTACCATTCTGCAACTCGAAATATTTAGTCACATATTACATTCATTAAGCCCTTTGTTTTCCTCTTCAGCTCGTGGGCCGGCTCTCACAAGAGGAACTAATGACCCAGTTACCATCTTTTTTGCCTGCTCTATTTGAAGCTTTTGGAAACCAGAGTGCTGATGTTCGCAAGGTAACTGAAGTTCTTTTTGTTTGCATTTATCAAGTGATATTTCTTATTCTACAAATGCATTACTTGGTGAGGTTCATAACAGAATGCCTGATAAATCAATTCACGACAATTGGAAATATTACTATTAGGATTACTTTACTCTCAAGAATATTTGTACAGAACCTTTCAGTTACAAAATATTGTTTGAAAGAATTTTTATGAGTTTCCTTTCATCCTAATTTTTTCTTCAAAAATTTTATTTGTTCTTTGGTGGGATGGTACAGACAGTTGTTTTCTGCCTGGTGGATATTTATATTATGCTTGGGAAAGCATTTTTGCCATACTTAGAGGGGCTTAACAGCACACAGTTGCGGTTGGTGACTATTTATGCTAATCGGATATCCCAAGCCAGAACAGGTACCGCAATAGATGCGAGCCATGATTAGTTTGGTGTGCTGGTGACTGGTGAGATGTAATTGCGGGGCTTATTCATTGTTGTCTATTTTGTATATTTGTGTGAATGCATCGTTGAGAGTGGTTCTTTGTTCGGAGTCATTTCTTTTTAGATATTTATTTTCTTCTACTTATTATTTTGTTTATTTTATAACCCTAGTGTTTGCCATTGTTTGATTTTGGGGAGAGGTGTGCTTCTTAGTGGGGAAACCGATATTATTTTGTACTATTTTGCAAATATTGTAATCAATATTCTCAAAACAACAGTCTTAGTAACATGGAAGAAAGTAATGTTTCTTTTCTTACCCCTTGGATAAACATTTGTACTTTCCTATGTTATATCTTAGTGGAATGTGTACTGTTACGCTATATTTTTTGAGGAAATTCTTTTTTTTTTTTTCCCCCTTTTTAAGGAAGAAGATAATTTTGTGGACAAATTGCTCAACAACCTAACTGAAAAGTTAAAAAGTAAATATAAGTAAAAAAACTTTATTCATAATTTCTAATTTGCCTCGTCTTTTCTCCAATTCCCGTATCCCTCTTTTACTTCATTACAATTGAGCTTTCTTTTCTCTCTAGCCATATATAACCAAAAGATGCATGTTCTTTCAGTTTTCTCCTAATTCTCCATACTCTTAATTATGGCTTCTACTTAGCTTTCTAACTCTTCACGCCTCAAATCCTCCCTCTATCTCCATCATCTGTTGTTGATGGCTTTTGCTCCTTCCCTTTCAGAGGCTTGAGAATGCAAATGCTTCTTTCAAGTTGCTTTTCTTATTGAGTTGGAGAAATTCTAGGTTACTTAACGGAGTCATAGGTCGTATTGAAGTATATAATTTGGTAAAATGGAAAGCGATATGCTGTTTAATGTTGAAAATTCTTTGGAGTAAAAAATCTGGCTTTTTGTTGTTTTGGTGCAAATTCTGAGTATAAATTATACAAAAAGTATACTTTGCAGGGAGCAAATTGAGTATTGTTCTCAAATTTAAAGAACAAAAGGGCAAATTGAGCTTTGTTTTATTTTTTTTTAAATTAACTACACACTCAATTGTTTTTCTTTTCTTTTTTTGTTTAGATACCTCAAGTATAATTATCCCAAAATAATTCTTAAGTTCAATATAATATTTGGAAGGATTTATAGAATATTTTAAATATAAATTCTATAAACACTCAATATTCTATACAAATCCCATAAGGATTTTTATATATAATATTTTAAATATATTTTTTAAGTTCAATTTAAAATGTAGAATTTATAAACACTCAATAATTCTTAAAAAAAAAAAAGGATTTATAGATAGTAAAAAAAGCATATAAATTTTGAAATATATAATTATATATTTTCTACGTCCCATTTTGTTCGCTTGTTATTTCTTTTTTGGATGTCCCAAAATATTTAGAAGGTTTCTAAATTTATATATTTAAACAATTATTTTTCTTATAATAAATTTTATGATTATTCATTAAATGAATCACTTTTATTAATATCTTAATGAACTGAGAGTAAAAAAAAAAAGGGAAAGTGGATGTTTATCAACTAATTTTTTAACATGCGTATTTTATCAAATCATGCAAATAAAATGCGACGGATGGAGTATTTATCATATCAAGATATTTTATCAAACAATATATTACAATATAAACCATATCAAAATATTTTCAGTATATAATCATAAATATATTTAGTATTTATGTTTCTTAAATACAATATATAAATTTTGTAGCATAAATAATTATCAATATATATTCATATTAGTATATATAACATCAAGATATATTTAGAATAATTTACTATTTTCAAGATGAATAACTAATTACTTATCAATACTAAATAAATATATTATAAATACTAGATAATAAAATGAAGAATTTAAAAGACATAATACAAATTTTGAAATTAATAAATCTCTTTTTATTTTATTATATTAAAATTCTTGATAACAAAATAACATGCATATAAAACAAGCATTCGTTAGAGGAATATCATACATATAATAACAAAACGCAATCAATTAAAACAAAGCAAATGCATTAATAATTAAAGAATTCCTCGAAAGACAAAATTATGAAACACTGATTAGTAGGTCCACATCAGTCAAGATCAGTGGGACCCATCGCCGACGTTGAGCATGGATGTCATAAGAGGCTAAGAGCAGCTATCGGGTGTCGAAACAGAATAAAACGTGGACAACATTCTCTTCTCTCTCACACGCCAAATTAACAGGTTAAAGTTAGAAATTAAATGAGTTCATTTTATAAATAGTCATTTATTTATAATACGAATATAAATATATTGTATCGCGGATTGACACGTAAATTAGATGAATGACTCGTTTATTTAAGAGTAAAGAGATAATTTTAGTGTAAAAATAAATGCTCTAATTAAATTCCTATCTAAACTCTATTGTTGTATTACTTTTTTATTTTAGCTATGAATCTTGAAGAATCTATTTATTTTATGTATAAAAAATTATTTTTAAATATAATTTAAATTAAATAAGTTAAAATTTAAAAATATTATAAATAGGTTAAGTGGGTCGTACACATATCAATGCGATCCAATTAACATGTTTATGATATTAGGCAAGTTATATAAGTTATATATAGTTTAACACAACTCACTTAATTTATTTATAATAACGTTCCTGATAGAAAATGACGACTCCTTCATATCATTTACCTAATTTTAGTGTTTCGTATTGATAAATTTGACAAAATTATTAAATATATCGTGTCCGTATTAATTCTAATCGTGTCGCGTGCTAGTTAAACTCAATCTATCAATCCATTTTGACACCTCATTCACGATCATTGAGAGTAGAGTAGCGCTAGAAGTTCAATTCAACATAGAAAATTGAATCCAACCGTACTAAAAATATTATAGATTAAATAACTAGTATATACATATAACGCACGTTTTTTTATATATAATATAATTATAATTGTATAAAAGTATAAATGGACGAGAAAACATTAGGATTATATAAAACGCTCTTACAGCGTCTACTGATTGATAAAAATATTATTAAAAATTATAATTTAATTGATTGAAAAATTAAAATTAATTTAATTTTTACTGGTCTTATTAATTTTCTATTTAACTTTAAATTCTATTAAAAAATAACAAATTATATTATATATTATATCATATTATATTAAATATGGTAAGAATATAATATTTGGTAAGAACATATTAATATTTTAAGAATTTTAATTTTATGATTGAAAAATAAAAATAAAATTATAATTCTTGATTGTCTACTATTAATTTTCTATGTAAATCTAAATTCTATGGAATAAGTTATTCTATGTAAATCTAAATTCTATTGGATAAGTTAAGAAATTATATTATATATTAAATAAGATATATACTAAATATGGTAAGGATATAAATTTTTAAGGGTTTCAGTTTTATTGGTTGAGAAAATAAAGGTAATTTAATTTTTATCAGTTATAAATATTATATAATATAAAGTAAATATTAAATATGATAAGAATATAATATATTTTTAATCATTATTTTTAATGAATGTTTAATTTGACTGGTTATAATTATTTCTTATTATTAACTTATTTTTTAAAAATATATGTAATTTATTATTATTTATTAAGAAATATATTATATCATTTATTGTTTGATATAAAATAGAAAATAAAATTCATTAGAAATGTATACAAGCTATAAAATTATGGTATAACACGTTATATTAGCGAACCATATAATGCAAGGGAGGAATTTTTTTTTCTCATGAAAAATACCCATAAAATTAATTATATACTCATAAACTTTAGTAAAAAGTAAAAAAGAAAAGAAAAGAAAAATAGTAAAATTATAAATAATAATCTAAAAAAAAGCTTAATATATTAATTTCATAATAGCTAATATTAATATCTCATATTTTAGTAATTTAACAAAATCAAAGGAAAAATATTGAGCATATAAATTGAAAACGAAAAGACATGTAATACATATTCTTATTTCTCAATTCTTACTATATACTATATAGCTCCAAATTTTAAATAATATTATTTCATTTAATTAAAAATTTTGATATGCAGATGAAAAATTATAAAGGAAATAGGTTTATTAACTTTATTAAAAAAATTTTGATAATTTTACGGATCTAGATTAATGGTTGATGGCTATCATGAATACTTACATGGTTAAGAAGGAGAATGAAAAGCAAAGTGGTCTTAATAGGATTATTGTCTTGTTGCATATTCTAATGATTTTTTTCCACAAGGAACTTATCCTACAAAGAATATATGTAATTTATTATTATTTATAAAGGTAAATATTATAAAATTTATTATTCGATAACAAATAAAAAATAAATCGCACTAAAAATAGATATAAAATATCAATTATGATATAGCACATTGTATTAATAAACCATATAACATGTTGAAAGAACTTTTTTTTTCTCAAAGAAAAACAATCATAAAATTTTAGATCTAATCGATTTATTAACAATTGTGTCATTCGTCCGTCAACCATTACTACTATGTTGATGTAATCGTTAGTGAGACCCTCGCCATGACATGTCACTCGCTGACTATAAACTTGCAATGTATAATTGTTAAAAGGATTGATCAAAATTATTAAAAAAGTCAAAATTCAGTTCAGGGTTTTTTTTAGTCAGTAGGCAAAGGTTTGTTAGTTTGCCGATCTTAGTAAAGATTATTACATGTACCCAAAACATTGCATAGAGGTAAATATATATAAGACTTGGCAATAGATCCGAATTTTTTTATTAAAATTAATTTTTAATATTTATATAATTTATTTATCAATAAACTTGGCAACTAGATTCCGAATTTTTTTAATTAAATCTAATTTTTAATAATTATATATAATTTTATTTATCACATAAATAACTTTATAACTTGTAATATTCAAATTTTATTTGATAATCTTTTATAAATTTTAATTTAATATTTTCATTATAAAAGATGATATTTTATAAATTTTAATTTTAATATTTTTAATTTAATATGATATGTTATAATAATTAATGACAAACAATCAATATTATGCTAAAAAATTGTTTCATTTTTATAAGAATTAATTGAAAATAATAATTATATGACACGGAATAAAGGAAGAAAAAATTTTTAAAAAGGAGATTATAACTTGAAATTTTGAAAGGTGTTAAACTTTAAAATATAATAAGTTTCAATAATGAAGATTGATAAAAATTTACATTCATATATAAATTTCTCAAGAAATATTAGTGTAAAGGTATTTGATGCTATCCTTTTAAAGAAAAGAATAAGTTTAAGTAACTCGATAATGTTGTTGAAGATGTTACTACAAATAATACTATCATTTTTGAAATTAAAGAGGATTTACGATTGATTACTTATCCAACATTTGGTTTTCCCTATGTTGATAATTTTATTGAATTTTTATATCTTCTTTAATATTTAATTATTATAACACTAGTGTTGACAATTTCGAATGACTAAAAAAAACTATCATTTTTTTTCCTGAAATTGATTAAAAAAAACCCTGAATTTTAGTTTTTTTAACATTTTTGACCAATTCTTTTAATAATTATATCTTGTAAATTTATGATCAGCAAGGGCCATATCTTGTCGAGGGTCCCACTAACAACCACATCGGCATAGTAGTAACGGCTAATGGATAGAGGCCATAATTATTAGAAGAAAAAAAATTATTTCGCGATATCAATTGTAGCAATTGAAAGAATTGGCCAAAATTGTTAAAAATGCCAAAGTTCTGATTTTTTTTTAGTCATTAGGTCTAAAATTAATTATATGCTTATAGACTTTAGCAAAAAAATAAAAAAAATCAAATAAATCATATTTGAAAATAATAATTAATATATTAATTATCATAAATGATGGTCTAAAATAATAATTAATATGTTAATTATTATAAACGATGCTCTAAAACAACGATTAATATATAAATTATTATAATAGCCGTGTATATACAGTACAGACTATCTATTACATAGATTTAATACGTAATAAATCGAGTCAAACTAATTTTCATTATGAGAAATCTTTTTAATTTATTATTCATAAAATATTTTTTTCTATTTTGTGAATGTTATATTTTTAATAACACAAATTGTTTATAATATTATAAATTTATAAAAAAATAATTTTATAAAAAAATTAAATAATAAATTATATATATATAATTTTTAACAATTACAAAACACGCTTGCAAACCATATATAATACGAAAGAAAATTTTATGTCATTGGTAAATCACTGTGATAGCCATTACAGGTTGATACAACGGTATCGGTAACTAATATAATAATAAATTATATATATATAATTTAAACAATTACAAAACACGTTGAACATTATAATGAAAGAAAAATTTATGTCATTGGTAATCACTGTGATAGATTACAGGTGATAAACACGGGTTATCGGTAACTAATATAATCCATGGTAACTAAAGTCTAGCAAACCGTGGTTTAAAATAGGAAAAAAAAAATGTAAAATAATAATAATAATAATAAAACAAGTGGATATACATTGACTAGAAAGTTGGTCCGTTTGTGAATCAGTGAACCCGTAAAGCAGAAGCTAATAGCTTGATGGTATGTTTCTCTCACACGGGTTACGTTGCTGACCAACCAACTTATCCATTTTTGAGAGGTAAAAAATGTGTTCTATTTCTTGCATTGTATGCAAAAGATCTTTTATTTGATTTGGTTAATTATTGGGAATCAAAGTCAGTCAAACTTCTAACTAAAGAATGCTTTGAATCTTGAATAGTCCACAGCCCGCATTTGCAAAATCTTCACATAGATACATACATATGTTGCATTCATCACAAATTGAGATTTCTCTTCCATTATTTTGACATCAATAGGTCGTACCTTGACTCCACTAAATATATTAAGACTATCTTCAGTGATATTAACTGTTTTAGTAACTATTAGCGATTGCTGCTATAGTAGTTGTTAGTTGTTCAATTCTATTAGCGGTTAGTTGTTTGCTATTAAGTGTTAGATAAAAATAGTTGTTTAACTTATAATGATAAAAATTGACATTAATTGTTTAATTGGCTGGATTTGGAGAAAAAATAACGGGATGTTTTGATAATTAATTCAAGATAAATCTTCATTATTTATCCAAATCCTAAATCATTTATTGCAAAATCTATTGGATTTTATGTTGGATCTCACAATTGTTCCATTTTGTGGCAATACCATCATTAGCAAATCATCTTTAATGGGTATTAAACTAAGTATTCTAAGCAGGCTTTTGACCTATATAGAGCAGATCTAACATGCTAGATTGTGTATTTACATTACAAATGGAGCAATAAAAGGCAACAAAATAAGCATATGAGATTTTTGACATGCTAATATACAAATTTCCTTAATTGCTAATTATGAATTAGCAAATGAAAAATTAAAAATCAAATTGAAGAAAAAGTTAAGTTGTTTTACAAGTAATAATAATACACCAGAAGTGAAAAGGCTGTAACTGTGAGCAAAAAAACAAAAAGCCAGAAGAAAAAGGGAAGAAAAACATGGCATACTGAGCCGTTAAAGTGCAGTATTATCCTTTTCGCAGCAAAAAAATCAAAGATTCCATAGAAACTTGTTGATCATGGCAATCCTCATATAAGGAAATAAATCACATCTTATAGATCTTGTAAATTTTAACACAATCCAACTTATACTTTTCATATCTAATAACAATTATTGCACTGCCCATTGAATGTTGTTTTTAAAGCTACAGATAAATTTCTTTCTCTTCCGCCATTGAAATGACACTTTCACTTTTCCTTCTTTCTCTTCACTCTCACCGCAACAGTCTCTTTTCTTCTCCATTCTGGTTAGTATCAATTCTTTCTTTCAGTTGATTCTTTATCCTCTGTAATTAACATATATACAGTCTCTCTTTTTTTTTTTTTTTTTATAATAATAAAGATTTCTTTTTGGTAATTTTCAGAGAGATGAATGCACTTATTGGGTACCATGTCATATTCTTTTTTCTTGCATGTACCAAACACAAACACACATTTTGACTTGAAAAGACTTTTAGCTTTATTTACCATCTAAATGAAGCAACCAAATACTAATTCTTGATTAATTTTCTTGTTTCTGTAGAGACTGTAGGGTGGTGGGGAGCTATATTATATTAAATTTATTTATTAGTTTAATGGAGTCTGGAGCTAATAAGAGAAAGAAGATGGTAAGAAGAGAAAAAATTACTGCATTAGTTGTAGATGATGACATTACGAATCGAATCATCCATCGAAGGCTTCTGCAACATCTGGGTATAGAAAATCAAGAAGTTAAAAATGGCAAAGAAGCTGTTGATATTCATTGTCCAGGCACATTTTTTGATCTCATTCTTATGGACATGGATATGCCCATAATGAATGGCATTGAGGTAAATTTGATCTATTGAAGTCCAAGTTAGTATTTTCTGATTTTAATTTGTAGTTTAAATTAATTATTCTTTTTCACCGGTCATCAGGCTACGAAGCAACTCCGGGCGATGGGGATACGTAGCACCATTGTCGGTGTATCTACACGGTCAATCCAAGAACAAGTGCAAGAATTTATGGAAGCTGGTCTGGATGGATATCAAGAGAAGCCATTGACCAATGCTAAGCTTATTTCTATTCTTGATAAGATTAATCATAATGGTTCATAGTCTCATAGATTATAGGATATTTTTTTTTTTTTTGTATTTTTCCTTTTTTATTTTTTTTTATTTTTTTTATGTTTAGTGTGATCCTTGTAATATCTTGATAAGTGCATGTATTATCAATTTGGCAAAATAAAATATGTTGCATAAAAAGTTTCTCCAAATTTTAGCAGTAAAATGCCACCATTTATATGGTTTTTTTTTTTTTCTTAACAATAAAGAAAAGAAGCAAGATTAACTTACATAACAAATAATGCCAATTAGAAAGAATTTATAAATTTAGGTAACCGCTTGTTTCCGGAAAATAATTTACCTTTGAAAAATATTTTTCAAATGGCTTGTTTTCTATTGTTTGGTTGCATTATTCAAAATTAGTTAAAAATATTCAAATTTTTAACTCAAAAAACCATAATAATAATAATAATAATAATAATAGTATAAATTTCATATTTTAAAAATTTTATTGTTGAATATGACAATAATGCAAGAAAAAGTAAATTATGAAAGTCGTCGGTAACCGGTGATGGTAGCTACCAGTGGCCGATGGTGGTAGTTGGTGGTGAACATTGAGTGGTGATAGTAATTAACAATGATTAATAAATTAAAAAAATTATAGATTTATAAATTTGTAATAAATTTATCAAAATTCAGAAAAATATTTTACCTCTGAAAAATTATTTTCCTTGAAAATAACTTATTTTTTTGATCACCCCAAACAATAAAAAATTATGAAAAAAATTTTTTGTAAATCATTTTACGAAAACAAATGAAACCAAGGAGTTTCAAAATTTTACAGGAAGCATTGTTAGTCATCCAGTCCGCACAAAAAATAGTTTTGTGAGGGAATGAAATGTTATCTCGTCGTGGGTGTCAAAATCTCTTTTTTAATATATAATAAATAAATAAATAGGACAGATTTAATTGAGAGGTTGTTGTCAAAACAAAAGAACAAAAGAAGAAGAGGTAACCGAGGTAGGCTTGGGTCTTGTCATAGTCCTTTAGTCTAAGACACCTAGCACACAAAGTTTTGCTTTCTTTTGTAAAAAACCTTTTCACCGTACGAAATCAAATTAAAAATTTTGAAAAAATTCTATATATATGTCAAATAGAAATTTTATTAAGAGAAAATTATATATAAATATGTGATACAGATCAATATATTTTTATATTTTTATATATGAAATTTAATAATAAATCACTTATATAAAGAATAAAAAAATAAAATTTTGATTTAAATTAGTTGATAGAGTTGACAGAGCATAATATTTGTGTCATCGACGATCGTTTGCTCCACTTGGTGGCTATTCATGGCCACTATTCGACTCTATAGTCTTTCTACAAATTCAATCTGATTACATTTAAATTTCTTTCGTAGATTTACATTTCTTTCTGCATAATTATCCAAACAAAAGATGCTAGACAAAATCACCATAATGGTGACAACAATAACTCAGAATTAGATCTGAGAATAAAATCCCAAGATATGAGTGGTAACAAATCTCAATAATTGAACGGCAATAATACAGATATGAGGATTATTTGTAAAATAAACAAAAAAAAAGAGGTGACCGCTAGTAAGAGCTCACCGATGGCCACTCATGGAAGAAAAAAAAAAACTTTTTAAGTTTTAGGTTTTGGAAGAGAGAGAAAGAGTGACTAGGTTTATATATATAGAGAGAGAAAGATATATTTTTTTTTAAGTTTCATATTTTGCTAATCTTATTAATAAAAAATAATCCGAATTAATTTTATTTTAATAATTACAGGGTTTGATTCTATTTTAATTTTTATTAAATATAGATTATCTCAATTCTACTAAAACAGTTATCGAATCAAATTGAGTTATATGTTTTATATAATATAAAAATATATTTATAAAATTATTTTACTATACTTTTTGAAAAGCAAGCCATTCAAATTTTTTTATACAAAAAATTAACCTTTCTAAGAAAGGTAAGAGCCAGTGAGAGAGTACCGTGTGGTATTATAGAAAAAAAAAACTGACCTTCAGAGCCGTAAACTCATCTTACTGGGTTTTCACTTTCTTATGAGATGCAATGACTTTATTAATTTATATATTGTTTAAATATATTTTAGATTTATATTATAAATATTATTGTGTTTTATAATTTAAAAATAATTTATTTTTCAAAAATTTGATTTGCATGTCAAAATATATGTAAATTGTATTTTTTAGAAAGTAAAGAGGGTGTATTAGATTAACACTCAATTAAATTTTAACAAATTTGAAAATTCTAATGGTATTTAATCTAGATTTTTTTTAAAGTCTATTAAAATCTTGTGGTACTCAATTTAGATTATTATAAAATCCATAAAAATCTGATGATATTCAATTATGACTCCTTTAAAACTCTATATAAATTTGATGGTATTTAAAAAATTACTGATTTGGAAGGATTTTATAAAATTATTGATTTCGTCGAATTTTTAGGTGCTAGGTATGAATAAAAAAGTCATTCACAAATCCATCCTCCAACTCAAACATTTCAAAAATCTTTTAAAATCTAACAGAGTCTTAAGCCAATACACTCCTTAATAAGAAAGGAAACAAAGCGGGTACCTGCGAATTTTAAACGTATCCGTTTAAAATTTTACTACTTGTATCTATTCTAAACTCATTTAAATCTTATTTAGGTACCCGTATTCGAAACCGTTTAAAGTACCTCTTAAACGGATAGGGTGTACATGAATTTTACACTATTCAAATTCGAAATTATTTAAAATATATTTTTTATAATACTCGATAGGGTACCCGCGGGTCCCACTACTAAACCTGTTTAATATAATGGTTAACAGTTAGTGGGTATTCAAATATCTATACACGTACCTATCTGTATCTATTATAGGCAGTAATTTTACTATCTACATTCGTTACGAGTAGTAATTTCACTCTCAATATCTGTTTCAAACCCGTATCCGTTTAAAATTTTACTACTTGTATCTATTCTAAACTCATTTAAATCTTATTTAGGTACCCGTATTCGAAACCGTTTAAAGTACCTCTTAAACGGATAGGGTGTACATGAATTTTACACTATTCAAATTCGAAATTATTTAAAATATATTTTTTATAATACTCGATAGGGTACCCGCGGGTCCCACTACTAAACCTGTTTAATATAATGGTTAACAGTTAGTGGGTATTCAAATATCTATACACGTACCTATCTGTATCTATTATAGGCAGTAATTTTACTATCTACATTCGTTACGAGTAGTAATTTCACTCTCAATATCTGTTTCAAACCCTTTTATAACTACTCATATTCTCTTTAAATGAATCGAAGCGGAGCAAGTATCCTAAAATACATGTAGCACTTTCATCCCTATCCCTTAAGATATAAAATAATGTATTAATTATTAGATTAGTTTCGAATTTTCATGTGCTAAGAATTTGATATTTTAACAAAAATTAATATTAATGGTGCCACAAATTTTCAGCATCAATTTGATTATTTTTTTTTGGAATTTAAATGCATTGATCTCAATTAAATAATGATTTAATTAAATAAACAATTTGAAAGAGTTTTGAAATAGTCAAAGAACTAAAGAATACAATCTGCTATTGTTGTGGCCTGACCACTAGGCTCCATGAGCCTCAAGTGACGACCGTGCATCAGTTTTAAATTAATATAAAACCACCTTCTTATCCGAACTCTGACAGTTGGTTTAGTTTTTGGCTAGCAGTGGTTTAAATGTGTGTGTGTGTATTTTTTTTAAACTTACTATTTTTCGACGAGGAGGTCGTCGTTAAGTTAAGGGACAAGAAATCTGTAGTCTTCTGACTACATCGTGAGTGTTCTAGGAGCACAAGATGGCCGTCGATGACGCTGGCTATTGTAGGCCTTTCACTGTTGGTGGCGGTAAGATTTTAATGAAGAAAAAAAATGATTTTGGAAAGATGACGTATTTACGCTTTAGTCCCTCATTGTTTTTCAATTTTTCAATCAGACTCCAAAATCTTTTAATTTATTTTATTAGGTCCTGAAATTAATTTTGATTATATATATAAAAATCACTGTAATTCCATCAAATCTATAAAAAAAAAATCTCATCAATTTCATAAAACTCTATGTAGAATTTTAGTGGAATCCGTGGAAATCTTAGGAAATCCTTCAATTCCATCAAACTCAATAATTCTTTTAAAATCTTACACAATCATAATGCACTACACCCCCTAACTTTCGTCAAAATAAGTTCTGAAAAATATTCCCATATCCAACCAAACAAGGCCTTCCTAATATATACTATACTATATATAAAAGTGGGAATGAGAGGGGAATAATGAGATTGCTGATATTTTTCTTGCGAAATTTAAGATATTCTAACATAACTTTAGTCTTAGCCAATTAACAAATTTTAACCTAAAAATATAATAATATTTCTATAATTTGATTAGATGTTTTTTTTTTTTTAACTTTTTAATAGATAAATACATATAAATAATTAAGCATTTCAAAATTTTAAATTTTACTATTATTGTCTTACTATGTCTAAATATATTTTATTATATTAAATTATTATATAAATTATTAATTTTAATTTAATAAATTTTAATAATTTATTATTATTATAATTTATTTTAATTTAATTTAAATTTAAATAATTTATTTTATTATTATAATTTATAATTTAGTTTCAAAATTATTATTTTAAATAATATATGTAAATATGAAGCGTTTTGAAACTCTTTACATGTTTTTTAAATTTATTTTAAATGAATATATCTAGATGATGCAAATTTTGATTTAAAAAGTTTATGATTAAACTTTTTTAATTACAAATTGCGCTCTCATTTGGTTGGCCGAAAATAATAAAAAAAATTATTATTTTTAAATATTTCGAATTTTATTAGTTATATTGATGTTGTATATAATTCAAATTCAATTTCTATTAAAAAATATAATTTTATTAATAATTTTTAAATACTTTCATGATTTAATAGGCTCTAAATAAAAATAAAAATAAAATGAAAAATTTTTAATTATTTATTAATTTTTTTAATTTGATGGCGTTTCTATTCTTTTGTTAAAATTTTATTTTGTGCTACGAGAGATTACAGTAAGAAGTTATGTTTTATTAACAACAACATGTAAATTAATTAAAAACTCTGATAATATAAGTTTGTTTTT